TTGCAGATGTCATAGATGGCCTCGTTGTCCACCATGAAGGAGCAGTCTGAGTGCTCCAGGGTGGTGTGAGTGGTGAGGATGGAGTTGTAGGGCTCCACCACTGCCGTGGAGACCTGTGGTGCCAGGTACACAGAGAACTCCAGCTTGGACTTCTTGCCGTACTCTACAGAGAGCTGCTCCATGAGGAGGGAGGTGAACCCCGAGCCTGTGCCTCCCCCAAAGCTGTGGAAGACCAGGAACCCCTGGAGGCCACTGCACTGGTCAGCCTGTAGCACCAGAAAGTGCCAGGAAAATCAAGTTACTGGGGCTTCATTGGACTTAAGCTAGAAGTAGTGCATTCAACCATGAAATTTGTGGCCCTAAGTTTCTCTTCTGCTTTTACCCACCTTCTACTTCTAATAGTGAAAATGTTAAATACAACAAATTATCTTTTTTTCTTAGTAGAGAGAGAGGCCTGGCCATGGCATTGTAGGGCAGGTAGAGATTCATAACATCAGCAGTCAATAGGACCAGGAGAAATTTGAAGGTCACTATGAGATTCTACCCAAATCAAGCATGCTTCAGAGTTATCACAGCACTTCTGAAGTTCTGCAGCAGGAAGACTGCACAGGGAAGAAGAGGCATAAAGAGAAAACACCAGCCAGAAGGTGACCTGTGACATTGGTTGGAATGAGTTCTTGGTGGATCTTCTGCCCCTTGTTTCCCAAGAAGGGCAACACACACCAGCGTGCATCTCATCACGTCACTCCAGGTCACAGTGGCAGGGTCAGTCTGATGAAGATCCATCCACACCATCACTTCTTGATGGTCAGGACAACAGCAACCACTGTCTAGTGCAGAGGATTTCCCCATAGTGTTATTACCATTTTACGAGCTCTATCAACAACTGGGTCTATGATCTCCTTCCCAGTGGTGTAGCGGCCCTGAGCGTAGTTGTTGGCAGCATCTTCTTTGCCACCGATGAGTTGCTCTGGGTGGAAGAGCGTGAGGTAGGTCCCGGTCCTGATCTCATCTGGAAGAAATTGAGATATCATGATTGTCACTAGCATTGTCTGCCACATTACTTGCTCTAGTTTAGATGCGGTTCCATGCTGAAACTAGTAACCTCACTAGGAGTTTAGGTGGCCAACACCACTCTTCAGGTCAGCAGGAGTCACCGCAACAAGAGGTTTGGGGGACCTTCAACAACTTACCAATGACAGCAACAAACACTGCTCTAGGCACATGCTTCCCTGAGCCTGTCTCACTGAAGAAAGTCCCAAAGGAAGAGTCTGTTTGCCCTGAGGATGCCATGGAGGATGTGATGCCATCTGACTGAATCCCATGCTCCAGGCAATACAGTTCCCAACAGGAATTGCCCATCTGGACACCAGCCTGGCCAATGTGGATGGAAATACACTCCCTCTGCACTGGGATGGCAGAGGGAAGAAAGTTATGAGTATGCACTAAGGAAGTCTAAAGGAGCCATTTCTTTTTATATTTGTGGGGCATACAGCCCACAACCTACATAAAGAGGAACCTTATCCCAGCTTAGTGGCAGCCAGGAGACTTTCTCCATAGCAGGCACTAAAGAAATACTGATCTAGCAGGAACTATGCATTCACCCTTCAGGGAGTTGTTGTAGTCTCTCACTAAGACAGATGCCTAGTGGTAGGTCCTTCTGCATCTCAGCACTGTCATTATATTGCACAATGATTCTGTTCCCAGGAACAGGCCACAGAGCTGATAACCTACAGCAATACTGCAGTCAAACTGCTCATGATTTTTCTTTTCTCTGCTGTGGGGCAGAAGGCAAGGTGCCACCACAGCCTCCCCATATGCTCTCACAGCCCAACTGATCTTGGGCAGCAGTACAAAGACACCTCTCCACTGCACAGATAAGTTAAGTTTGGAAAAGATCTCTTGATGAAGAAATGATGGGAGAGGTCCCTTTCACTGTTAGGACCCAGTTATTGACTTGCAGAACAGTTTCTCAACCTAATTTAGATTAAGTATAGGATAAACCTTCTGGAGATAGCTAGAATGGATCCAAGGAAGGATGAGTAAGGACTGATAGCTCATCTCTCTACAAGAGTCATCCCATGAAGCAACTGCTTATGGCTTGAGCTATATGGAGAAGGGCTCATGCACAGGATGTAGCTAAGGTGCTGAACTCTTTGACAGAGGAAACTTCTGGGAGGAATGTGACGAAAACACCCAACACAACAAGCACCAAGCTTTCAGTTACAAGAAGACTAGAGATACTCAAAGAGTATTAATAGAGAAAAGTCTTGTCTTCAGCCAAGAAGGCCCTGAGCTACAATATATTTAAGATAGATATGATAGGAAAGTTCATACCCATCTTAAATATCTTGATCTACAGCTTCCCTAAAGTTTGGTTTGCCTTTACTACCTGCTTTGAGTTATGGTCTGGGTAGGATTTGTGGCTGGAGAACCAGCATAGCTGTAACACCCACTGCAGGGCCAACACATGGATGCAGGAACTGTCTCCTCAAGGAGAGACCTTCACCCCCCCACCCCACTCCTGATCTGTCCCAGCCCTACAGCAGCACCAGAGGGACATCCATCTTCATCTTAATATCACCACCAGCACAACCTCCAAGTTATCCTCATAATAAGGTAGAGGAAGGTATGAAAACATCAGCAGGCAAGTCTTCCCAGGGCTAAGGGCCGATCACAGGAAACCTCTTTCCAAGGCTTCCACGTTCTTTATACCCCACAGCCACTTTCCTTCAATGAAACCCCAAAGTCAAGGGGGAAGCACCTTCCCCCAGCAAGAAGGAAGACACCCCAGCTCCTACCCCCTGCACAGCTGTTGAAAAACAAACCCAAGCACCACAACTACTCACTATGACTCCAAACCACCAAGGCTCCTCAATAAAAATCACAGCACCTAATTTGGAGCATACCTGACTGCTCTCCTGGGGACTCTTCTATAGGGAGGTAGAGCCAGGCTTGCACTTAGAGGGCTCCCTCCTGACTCCTTCCCCCTCCTCTTGCACCTGTGGGCAAAGTGTTCAGGTGTTTCTTTTCAGGAAGCGAATGTGGGGCAATGATGTACTCTGTAGGACTTGCACCTGCAGACTTGGAGATTCTTTGGTCTTTTAAATTTTCATTGCTGGTGGGAAATAGGACTGTTATGTGCCTCAGTTTCCCTCCTTTAAAATATGGATAAGAAATATGGTATAGCAAAAATTGATCAGAGATGCTAAGGCTATTGTAGAACTGATGGATGTCCTGGAGGACCTGAAACAGCTGTGGGGAGAGGTGATGATACACAGTATAACACCACAACTGAGAAGCACCAATGAGACCATCACACTGCAAATGGAAAATGCTTTTATTTTCTATACAGCATACACCAAAGCAAGAAATTCATTGACTTGGGACGTTCCAGAGGCTAGTAACACAAGTTTTAAAATGTGAAGTACACCAAGGTGTGGGGACTGACCCTATGAAGGCTACTAAACCTTATTGTATGGTCCCCCGAACATAGTTTGGTCAACCCAACTGTGGGGTTACCTACTGTAGGGAATCTGCTTTAGCAGGGGGTTGAACTCAATGATCTTTAGAGGTCCCTTCTAAACCCTGTAGTACTGTGATTTTGTGAGCCCCCATCTCACCACCCTTTCTGGGTGCACCCCTGGGTGTTGGGGCCTATGAAAGGGGGAGAGCAGAAAATGAGGTGTGATGGGGAGGCTAAGCAGCTCTGTGTCTCCCAAAAAACTCTGGTTTTCCTCAAAGAGTGGCCAGGATGTGGCACTGGCAGCAAGGGAAGAGGACAGGTTCTTGAAGTTGTAGGTTCTTGGTAAGAGTGAGGGAGTTTCTCATCCTTCTCAAGAGAGAGGGGTTGACTTTTGCACCTGATGTGCTCCATGCCCATGTCACCAGATGTGATGCAGGGGATCCGTGTGGGCTGCTGGGGTTGGCTCTGTCCCTGGTCACAGCCCCTCCTGGCCCAGCTCAAAATAGCACAGGACATCCCAGTGGCAGGATAGGGCATAGAGGAGTGGAACAGAACAACTCATGTATGGGATGGCGCATTGCAAGTGCAGGGTAGGGCATACAAAGAGGAGGAGAGGTCAACCTGGAACAAAATGGGACATCTCAAAGGTAGGATAGGACATCTCAGAACAAGATGAGACATCTCAGGGGCAGGGAAGGAAACGCCGGTGGTGGCTTCTGATGTATCACTATAGAAGGTCCCTATGCCCCTGGTGTTCTGTGTTTCTGGTACTTTATCTTCTGGATATATGGGATACATGGGATACACCTTTTGTGGTCACAACTGGAAATCAGCTTGTTTTTTTCCCCAGCCAAGACCTCATAGATGTGAACACGGGCACCTTCCCATACAGCAGGAGGGTATTTTTGGCCAGATACTCGATGCTCATTACATTATACTGCCTGAATTCCTTCCTCAGCCAGATGGGCATGGGGTTCCGGGAAGGAATTCAGGACCTACTGTCCTTGGGGAATTGCCAACATCCCTGCAATATCTCTGGTTTGCATTTATATGATAAAGGAGCATTGGCATGTGGAGGAGGAGAAGGAGGGTGAGGGGGGTCCTGGAGGCCAGGGGATGCCTGGGGGAAAGGATTATGTAGAGGCTGAAAGGGAGCCGACAGTAAAAACAGAAGGATATGATGGTCAGAGTAGACCCACACTTGACTGCACAGCAAAGTGCAATCAATACCTTTTGAATGCAATACCTGAAATTGTGTTCCATCCCTGCACAAAGTGTGGCAGGAAAGACTGAATCCTCACCCCGCTTTTAGGAAACCGCTGTCTGAAAGTCAGTGCTGTCCTTCCTAAGCCTTGGCTCCAGTTGCTGCCAGAACCAGGTGGTGGCTGATGGAGATTTCAGCGCTCCTATTTCTATCCCACTTCCTTGGGAAATCCGGCTCCTCTGACCTTTGCCTCCCTCTTGGCCCCTCTGACCAGCCTCCAGCCTCGCTTGGCAGAGGCTAAGAAGGAGGATTAATTTTGGAAAGATTTGTCCAAACCGGTGCTGGCTGTGGGTGAGTCCCCCACAGGGATGCAGCTGAAGAGGGAGGATCTCTGCTTTCCCCATCACTTGCCGTCAGCTGCTATCTGCTGTCCCTGGCTCAGCTTTGAGCTTGTAGTCATGGTCTGGTGCTGGCATACACGTGTAGACACCTGTAGACAACCCTATGCTTTGGAAAGACAGCCTGGACAGCCTTGGGACATCTCTGGCCAAATCTACAAAGGGACAAGAGCATATCTGACCTTGCTTTGTCCAGTGAGATGTGTGTGAGCGTCTCTCGATTTTCCAGCTGTAAAATGGGCACAACCACTGTGTAGCACTGAACAGCTCAATATACTCGTGGGGGATGGATATGTAGGTTGCTGGGCTGTAAAATGCATAAAGCTATGTAGATTTTTATGGAAAGATCCGTATAGACTAATGCTATAGAATAAGCTCACCGGTCCATCCTCAGCTCCAGGGTGCAGGCAGGAGGGGGTCACTGCACAGAGATGCTGTGGGCACGTTGGTGTGTTTTCTGTTGGAAATGTGTGTTAGGAGGGGAAGATGCTGGAGGATTGGTATATTTATTTGATTTTTGCTTTTTGGTCAACTTCCAGTTCTAAGGCCCTGGGCTGGGGGTCAGCTAGGACCCTTGGCTGCCCAGCCGTGGTCTCTCTGGGCATGAATTCAGCTGTCTTGCCTCCAGCTATGTCCTTGCAAATGGCTTGTGGATCTATCTGCCAGCCCTTCAACCAAAGACCTGTCCTCCGTAATATCCCACCTGGTGTTCCCTGTAGCTATGACATGGATGGGATTGGTGGGAACTGTTTTGCTGCTCTTGGTAAATTTCTTCTGGAGGAAGAGGGCCAAATTTCTCTCCATCTCCCAGTTTCCTCTCCACGTGCTGGTATGGAGGTCAGGAGAGGGTTTCATCTTGGAACTGGGCTGTGAGGTGAAGAGAGAAGGGGATTGAGAGGAAGGGATATATAGCCCAAAGTAAAGCGGGTGCTTGATGATCTCTGGCTTGATGGAGAGTGGGTGAAGGGAATCAGGGTGAGCAGGGATGGTTTGGCCAGGAATATACCTTGAAAATGAAGCCTCTGGATCTGCATGGATGGTGGGGATGTGGATGGGGGTAGAATGGACAACACGGACAGCCCTGCAGGTGGGTCTGGAGTGGCTGGTTAGTGATCCATGACTCTTGGGGTCCAAACTCACCTTAAGCTGTGAGAGAGAGGCAAAGCCATGCTGCATTCTGTGGTTGCTTATAAATGATCATTTGGATGAAAGGTGATGGTTTCTTGGATGAAGGTTTTGGCAGGGAAAAGAGTAGTTGCAAAATAACCTGAAATCTAGCATTCCCAGTAGGAGAAATTGTGAAATCTCTCTGGAGATCATAGTCAGAGAATCATTTGAGTTGGAAGGGACCCTTAAATGTCATCTAGTCCAATTCCCTGGCAATGAATAGGGACATCTACAGCTGGATCAGGTTGCTCAGAATCGTCTCTAGCTTGACCTTGAATGTCTGCAGGTATGGGGCATGATCCTCTTACCAATCAAGGTTTTCCCTTCCCAATATAGTTGTGACTGTGTATGGGGACAATCGTGTTTGGAGACTTGAGTGAGAGCGTGACCAGGGCTGTTGTAGGAAAGGGAGCTTTTACAAAGGCTATGGACCTGAATGAGCAGCTGCTGGAGGTGATGGGAGAACCAAGCATTGGAAACTCAACAGATTGTAGCTTTAATAGGGACCTTTCCAAAACAACATGTCCCCCTGCCCTGCTGAGGACACCACCCTCTTCCCCACACATGGAAATGTCCAGGAGAAGGAATAGGGGAGATTGGGAAGGAAAGGAGGAGGAAGAAGAGATATGAAAGTTAGGTAGCTCTATGGGTCAAAAATATACAACACTGATATCATACACGGCTGTCAGTCCTCTCCAACCAGCAGGTTGGGGCCAGGTGTTGGCCCCGTGTGGCCATCCCTGCTCCAAGTCAACCCCTGCCCCGCGAGCATCACTTCCGCCGCCCAATTTGGGCCATGAGGTGTGCATTGGCAGCAGCCTTCGCCCGCAAGTTTTTGGCTTTGGCGATGTTGAAGAGGATATTCATGATGTTGGTGGGGACGTCGAGGGACAGGGTGACCTTGGTGCGGCGGTCGCTTTTGGCACGGTTTTGGTAGGTCTTCCCCTTCACCTGCGCCTGGGAGGTGTATTTGTAATGGCCTTCCCCTGGGAATGTCCTTTTCCCTCTCTCTTCCTCTGCCTCCTCCTCCTCCTCGGATGCTTCCTCTGCTGGATGGTAGTCATAGCCACGCTTGTCCAAGACGGTGTTTTCCTCTGGGAGGCTCTTCTGGGCCTCGGTGATGGCCGCGTTGAGGCAGCTGAAAATGGAGGCAGCGTTGTAGAGGCGGAAGGCCCTGCTGGTTTCTGTGGCACAGAGGAGGGCGAGGAGGAGCAACAGCTTGGTGTGGGGCATGATGGTGGCCTGCCCAGTGGAGAGAGCGAGAGGAGGGCAGAGATGGGTGTCAGCTTCCCAGCAGGCATGGGGCAGAGTACCACCATCCCTTCATCATCTCCTGTCCCAGACTCATGGGTTCAACTCCCAGATCCCAAAATCACAGAATCATTTGGGTTGGAAGGGATCTTTAAGATCACCTAGTTCCAACCCCCTTGCTATAGGCAAGGCCACTTTCCACTAGACCAGGTTGCTCAGAACCCCATCCAGCCTGGATTCACCTCCCACGTTTCACAGTCTTGACTTCACCTCCCAGATCCCAAAGACTTGTGTTCACCTCCTGTGTCCCACAGTCCTGAGTTCATCTCCCTCATCCCACTCTCCTGGGTTCACCTCCTACTTTCCAAGATCTTGAGTTCACCTCCCACATCTTGAAGTCCTGTGTTCACCTCCCACACCTCAAAGCCTTGGATTTGCCTCCCGTATCGTACACTCTTGGGTTCACCTCTCACGTCCCAAAGTCCAGAACTCATGTCCTAAATCTCAAAGTCATGGGTTCATCTCCCATGTAAAAAAATCATGAGTTAATCTAACAAGTCACCCCCAAGGTCCCATCTAACATTTAGGGCAAGTGGGAATGAATTACTTTAGGACATCTTCCTCTAAAGTTCAACCTCCAAACCCCGGGTTTGGGGGTACTGGGTAGGATGGCCAAGGTGTTTTACAAAATCGAAGCCTCTATGGAAGATTTGGCCTTCTCGTTGTTGACATCATGACACAGTAACATCACTCACTACTTGAAATACAATCATTTTAATGTCCCAAAATCTTGGTTAAAAAAACTTGAAAATTTTTGAGATAACCTCACTACTGCAAAACCTTCCCATCTTCAAGTCCATATGTGCACCCATCTGCTCAGCTAAAGGTCTACAAAGAATTTCCAGGCGGGGATTCTTTCACCTTATCGACAACGGTACAACCAGCCCCCCAGCCAGCCCCGATGTCACCCTGACCCTGAAAGCACCTGGAGGAGGACTGCCATTCCCAATCTTCTGGCCCCATCTTGTGGCAAGAGCATCTCATGGCAAGCTCTGGCCAGCAGGACAAGTCAGTCACAAGGATGCAACAGCATCTCTTGGGGTCTTCTGGGTGAGTGGGTGTCCTCCAAAATTCAACCAGCCCCCTTATCCCATGAACTGTCATCACGAATCTGCTCTTCAGTCAATCTGTGAAATTGATGTCACTTTAACTGTCCTTTGCTGTCCCTTGGGAGGAGCAGATCAGGGCAGGTTCATCCCCTTAACTCTGCCCTTTGCTATCCCTTGGGAGGAGCAGATCAGGGCAGGTTCATCCCCTTAACTCTGCCCTTTCTTTCCCTGGCAAAGGGAGATCAGGGCAGGTTTATATCTTAAATCTGCGTTTTTGCTGTCCCTTGTGGAAGGGGTTAAGTGTGGATTTATCCCCTTTATCCAGAGAAAAGAAGGGTGCGAAACATCTGTGTTATGACCCAGGTAGCATTATCAAAACTGCTACTGCAGGACGGTGAGCAAAACCCTTGCCAGGCACACAACCCCCACATGAATGTGATTTGGGATCCGAAGTTCTTCTTCCTTCAGCCCCAAATCAGACATTGAGATCCTGGGGTTCAGGTTTTGCTTACAAATCCTATCAAGGTGAGTATTTATTCTTCCACCCCAAAGCAGATGTCTTTTTTGCCCCAGATGATGCGGCCATCCCAGCAAACTCCTAGCAGAACGGAGGGGCTCAGGGCATGAATTTGGAAACTGCCATCCTTCCTCTACCCTTTCCTGCTACCTTACACATCCCCAGGCTGCTATTGGAATGGCAGGAATAGCTCTGAAAATGCTCACAGAGACAGTGAGGCTGCTGGCAGTGAACTGCACTGATATGAGAAGCTGCTGCTGAGCATCTCCCTGTCCTCTTCACCTCTCCCTGGTATTTCTCAGCTGTTTGAAATGGGCGGTTTGGCTCCCCAGCTGGAAAAAAACCTCTCTGGGGACCTTGGCTGAGCAAAGAGAAAGGCAGGACAGAAATCAAAGCGAAGCAGTAAGGAAATGAAGCATCCTGACGAGCAAATCTGATTTCTAGCTTGTTATTATTAATTATTATTTTTGCGTGGGGGCTTTTCTCCCCTGCCAGAAAGTTTCGTTTTGTTTTGTGTTTAATAACTGGAAATGGGTCATCCCTTCCTAAGATCAGGAAGAAGAAGAAAAATTGCAGCAAATCTGAGAAAGTCGGAGTGAAATCTGCCTCTGCCGGAGGGTGACCCATGAGTGGGAATTGCTGGGACCCCGTGAGCAGTTTCCAGGCATTATTATGGGATGGTGCCCATCGATGGACAACTCTACCTCTTGGATTTAAAAGAGAAAAGTGAATCACTGCAGCACGGCAGCTCCGGCAGAGTGGGGACAGAGCTGTATCATCCACAGCAGAGGTATAGCATAAATCTGTTTTTTTTTTTCCCCAGCAGAAATGTAAGTCTGGAATAAAATAATACTGCAAATGAGACTTGCAGACTTTTAAACTCTTTCTGTCTGATGTTGCCTCCACTTCCCCATGAACCTCCCCTGGGAATGCTGATTCCCAGGGCTCCAAACCCACGCTGACCCGGTGAGGATAAGGCTATGCCCTCGTCTCTCCATCCCTTTACCCACAGCAGTGATTTATATTCCCACTTTCTGATTTCCCAACATTTCCATACCCTTTTCCTGCCTGATCTCCCTCCAAAAATTGCTATAATAACCCCAAATCTATTTACTCTGGAGAGAGTCTTACTACTTTTCCCTATCCCATTTTTATTTTCTCTTGCAGAAAGACGTGGAACCTGATCTCCCAAGCACTGAAATATTTCAAGTTTGTGCAAACGAAGCTGGTTAATAAATGAAATCCAGGCACTCACCTGGCAGTCCTCGGTGCTGGGATGGGAAGGGGCTGCTGCGTGCGGCTCTCACTCCGAGCAGAGAGACATCAGCGCCTTCCCCTCAACTTCTGCACCCTCTCTTTTCTTTTATTGTTATTAAGAGGGCTGTGATATTTTTTCTCTCTATGGAAACGCTTTTCCCCTCCCTCGTGTATATATAAAAATGAGCGATCACGGGGTTTGAGTCGTAACTCCAGACGTGGAGCCTTCGTTTGGGCATGATTGCATTAAAATGAAATCAGAAGGAGCTGGCGACGTCACGGGGCTGCAGTGCCTCTCCCCATTCAGAAAGTAAAAAAATAAAAAAGGGGGGGGGGAGAAAAAGACCTCTGAACCCGACATGCAGGTGACGCTCACCCAAAAACAGGGCTGTCGTCAGTGCTGGGGCTTTGTAGGGTCCCACAGACACGTTTCTTCCACTCTTCTTGCATTCGGTGCAAGGATATTTTAAATGCAAAGAATTGCTGTGGCCCCTAAGGATGCCCGTTTAGGTTTTCAGCAGCGTTATCCCAGTCATTTATTTTCAAAGTGTGGAGCTGGTGCATCTTCTTGGCTGGGTTTTGCCCACAAGCCCTGTCCACAGTCCCTCAGACTCCCTAAACACACTGAGATCCAGCAGAACAAATTCAGATTGCTCCAAGGCTGCAACCAAGAAGAAAACCTCAGTCCATTGCCCCAGGACTCCTGGTGCAGTCAGTCTATAGTCCCAGCACTGCTCTAATCCTGGTGTAGTCTTGGTGCTAAAGAGAGAGTGAGATTGGAGGTCTTCCCCAAGTTCTTTACTATGAAAGTGGTGAGGTGCTGGAACAGGCTGCCCAGAGAGGTTGTGGATGCCCTGTCCATCCCTGCAGGTTCAAGGTCAGGTTGGCTGGGTCCTGGGCAGCCTGGTCTGGTATTAAATGTGGAGGTTGGTGGCCCTGCCTGTTTTAGAGGGTTGGAGCTTCTAGATCCTTGAGGTCCCTTCCAACCGGGCCATTCTGTGATTCCTGTTGGAAATGAGGACTGTTCCATGTGGTGCTGGTATGATAGACCTCAAAAAGTCATGTTTCTGGGAAGGGATTCCTCCAAAACTCACCACAGATTGGATGGGCTGCAGGCTCCTGAATGGCTTTAAAGCCCGTTATCATTAATTGTCATTGTCTGGGAAAAGAACAAATCCTACTGAACTTGGGGAAAGCCCTCTGAGTCCCCTGCCAAAAGTCTTGTCTTCCACAAATGACTCTGAGTGGGCTCTGAGTGAGGATGGGGAGATGCTCTCACCCCTGGACCACACGCCTGCAGTGGTCACAGGTGCTCCTTGGAGAAATAAATCTGTGGATCTTCTTGGATGAAGATCTTTGGGCTTTTCACCAGGCCCTTGAAGTTTCCCTTGAAGCTGAAATGTAACAACTGTCAACAGCAAGAGCTCCCCATTGCCTTCTGTCCCAGGTTGAGCATTTTCCCCTTAACTGCCTCCAGCTGTTGGCTGAGACACATTGGCACCCACTGCTGCAGCAATCCATTCCTCTTTTCATCCTAGGCTTCTAACTTCCCATTTCCATTTCCCCTCCATCACTAAGACCTGGAAGACAGTTTTGTTATCCAAATCCTTGGAGCCAGTGGTTGTCACCGGAAACCAACCTGCCTGCAGATGCTAGTTCAAGGACCTGAGTGAAAAACTCCATTGGAGGGACTCCTTCCTACCAAAGAGAAAGGGAAACCACCACCTGGCCCACGATTCTCACTCTCTAGAAGACATTCCCAACCAAATTTGTTGCAGAGGGATGAACTTTCTCTAAGGGCTGCAGGATCTCTGAGCTATTGAAATCCTTCGTCTCATCCTTTGTGAAAACAGTGATGGATGAGAGCTATTTCCAACTCATCCCTCATGGTGGAGCTCCATTAAAAATGATTTCCCTTTACTCTCATTGCAGACGTGGGAGTGCTGAATCTTGGCAACCTTTGGCTTCCTTGGGTTGTGTCCTCAACCTTGGTAAGGTGAGGAGGGCTGGGTCAGCCCCATTACCTGATGTATTATTTATCATTGGAGGACTGGTCCAACTCCTAAGTTTTGTGCCTAGAGTGAGTGGAGAGGGCTTGGCTAGGATTTATATCCTTGTGCTTCCTTGGAGACATGTTTAGCATCTTCTTGATCCCTGAGGACTGTACATAGAGGCAGTGGTCCTTGCAAAAAGCTCAGGAGACCCTTGGATCCTGTTGGGCTCGGACCACTGACAACTCCATGTGCGTCAGAGTGGGTTAGGGATGATACACCCACTTTCTTCCCCTGATTTTTTGGGGCTGAGGTTGGAAGAAGGGGGTTGAACTTGCAAATCTGTGTGGGATGGGGACTCTTAGTGTCAAGTTGGATGATGTGTGCTTCATGAATGGTGTGTGGGTCCCTCTGTTCCCCTGCCTATCAGAAGGAGATGTCACCATCCCATGTCTCACTACAGCAGAGAGGAGCCACTGAAAGTCTCTTGGGGGGGCATTTTGCATTTAACAGTCTGGAGATCAATGGAGAAACTCCTTCTTCTAGTGTGAGGTGTGGGTCTGGCATCCCATGGGCCCAAAGGTGGGGAAGAACTGCTAACCCCAAAATCAAAGCCTGTTGCACCTCTCTGACACAAGGACCTCATGGCTCTGATCATCTCCAGGAGTTTCAGACCTTCAGGTCAAGATGGAAACCCTGCCAGTGCCAGAGCTTTGTAACCTGGGGTACATGGGGAAGGGGTTATAGGATAGGGAGCAGTATGATGTTAAATTAGATTACCTGACCCATCTTAAAGCCCACTTTCATCCAGAGGTGGTGGGGCCTTAAATTCATTTTAGTGCATCACTAAAGTGAATTAAACTGTATGAAATTGTAGCTGCTTTCACAACAGTGATCGGTGCTCCACCTTTTCAATTGGTCTGTCCCTTGTGAAGGGGTGCATGTCCTTCCACACTAATGTTTTCTTGGGGCTGGATGTGTGATGAGAACATATCAGCATGCAGTTTTTATCCATTGCAATCACTTCAGGTTGTGCCCATGGGTTGTGCCCATGCTCCAAATTGTTAGGCATGTGGTGATCAGCTCTTCTTGGTTGGTGGCAATGGGGACATGGTGGAGGGAAAGGCTGCCTCCATGCCAGGAGGTCTTGTAGGACCCTGAGGAGGTGTTTGGCAGTACCATCTCTCACTTGAGCTCTTTGACGTCTGCAGCTTTGCATGGGAGGGTGACAAGCAAGAGTCCGTCAGGGTTGAGCACATCTCTGTTTGGGGAAATGTGATGGCAGCAGTTTCCAAAGATCAAAAAGCAAGGAAGGAGTTAATGGTTAATAAACTGCTTTCTTTCAGGTTAGAGATGATTTGTCCCCATGACTATAAAGTTGTTGGGTGAAAAGCAATCAAAGCCACACTGAAGACGCGCTACATTGGAAGGAAATGGGTTATACACATGGGTCTTGTTCAAAAGTCAATCAAGTCAATCCTGTAGTGCTAATAGCCCATATAACTCTGTGTTGTTGTGGGTTTCTTTTTGCTTAGTTTAGTTTTTTTTTCTTCTTCTTCTTCTTTCTTTTTCAAATGATGAAAACTACTTAAGAATGAAGCCAAAGCATGGTGATGAATGCACTTATCATCCAGCAGATGCTGGTGGAGCCATGTAGTGAAAGCCATCTCCATCTCCCATACTGCCAGCAGACGATGGGGCATATTTCTGTGGCTATTTACCCATAAAATGCTTCACTGTTGGGCAAGGAGGCAAATCTGCATGCTAGACATGGAGACTTCAGTGTGATTTTATTAGAGGAAAATAGAAAAGAGAGGCCAGTTCTTAAGGAAGAGAGATGAAAGAAGTCAAGCTGTCTGGTTCATCTCTATTGGACTGTTTTAGCTGTCACTGTCTGGCTACTGTGGCTCACCGATCCTTGCATTACTCTTTGCTTTTTGCGGAGCTCAGAGGGAAGATTTTTCCTGTACAATCTGAAAATATCAGAGCACAAAAATGAACCTCAGGAAAGGGCACTCTCAGGAGCTCGCAGGTGGCCCAAAGTCCCCAAAGTTTCTCCAAAGAATTACCTAACTTTGAAAAATGAAGGCTTTGTCATGAGCGTCCTCGCAGGTCTCCCTTTGTGCGTCTGTCTCTCCAGGAGCAGGACACTTTCCCACTCTCCACAGCCTCTCTCACTCTTGCCAAGCTCAATTTCCTTCTGTGATTCATCGTTTAAGTCTAAACGTGGGCAGCTGGAGAGGATCTTATTAAAATTTCATCACCACAAACGTTCCACTACTGGGAAAAATAAGACACAGTGTCTCATGGTCATAGCACACCAGAAGCAAAACTCACATCCCAAATACCCAGACGAAAGTTTTGACTTGCTCAGGAAGGCAAAGGCAATGTGATGATGCACAGTCCTGGATTTACACCAGGATTGCATAGAGGAGGGGGACGTGGATGCTCTGAAGGTCCATGGATGGGCAAAAAAGGATTTTCTGAGTTGCTTTGTCTCATGTTTAATAACCTCTGGGACTCTTTACACTCCCAGGGCTGTGGATGTTGGACACTAGAGTCTGCCTATTCTCCATCTCACTCTAACCCAATGGCAAAGGACTCTTCCTCTCCCACAAAGCTCATTCTGTTGGGATTTTCCTCTCTATTACACAGTTTTGGGAGTGGTTTTTTGCCCCTGCTGACAGCTTGGCAGCTCCAAAAGGGATGTAGAGATCACGTCAATGGCTTGGAAAGTCCCATGACTTTAAGGTAGGACCTTGGTAATGTGTGCCAAATTTTTGTTGACCCAACCACTTTTTCAAGAACTACCAAGCTTTACCACTAACAGCTTATTGGGCATGAAATAGATCTTGGTTCTTGATGATTTCCCTCCAAGTGAAGAAAAAAAATAACACTGGAGAAGAAACATTAGTCTGAAATCTTCCACATAGCCTTCACCGGTGGTTTTTGTTTGCTATCTCTGTGTCACATTTCCTACCCATTCTCCAAATAGGCATTTCATATAATAGAATGACAGAATCATTAAGGTTGGAAAAGACCACTTAGATCATCTAGTCCAACCATCAACCCATCACCTCCATGCCCACTAAACCATGTCCTGTGCACCACGTGCATGGCATGCGCCTGTAGTTATGTGGATATCACACCTCCAGTAGGAATAAACATCTGAAATGAAGAAGTGCAAGAAATATAATGGCTACATCTCTATTGTTGGGTTATATTGCTTCTCCAGCTATTTTTTGCTGCAGGAGTCAAGGCCAGGGGCTGGCTGCTTGGTTTCATGAGCCACATGGAGGTACTCAGGGTGGCTTTAAGGGCAAAGTTGGACATATGCTGGGGACATGGAGACCTGGTGGTGGAGCTCGAAGTGTTGTGTAGGAAACGCTTAAGACAGGAGATGGGTGAACTAAACTCTGAGGGATCAGAAAGGATTTTCCTTGGTGGTTTCTGGAGTGAGACCAAGGCAGCTCTTGTCAATCACCTGTTCCTGGACAAGGAGTGTTTCTCCTTGGTTTTGCTCCAAATCCATGCAGTAATTCTGCTGGAGGTGAATCCATCCCAGTTTTTGTTCTTGCTCACCCCAGCTCAGAGCTGCCTGCCCAGCATCAAAGGATTTTGAGGATTTTTCAGTATTTTTCCTCCCTCTCCACAATGTCACAGCCATTGGGTTGCCATTCCATCTTTGCTATGGACAGAAGATAGTGCTCACCAACAGGATTCTTACCTTCACCAGTAGTGCTGCCAAGTGGCTGCGTACACCAAAGCAGTGGCACAGTGATTGCTGTTACTCCACCAAGCAATGGATATCACCCAGAAGTCACCTCCATCACACAGACCAGACAAGGAGGATGGATAATTTTGCAAGATGCACCTTGCTGATGCTTGGGTCCAGCCCTGCATTAACTCCATGCCCAATTGCATCTCCAGAGCCTAAATTACTCTCGCTCTGAAAATACTGGGTAATTAATTAACCTCGCTGGATGTAATTCAGGCTGGTGACACAGTGGTGAACTTCTTTGTTGCTTTTGACTCTGGCAGGAGTGAAGACAGGGACTTTTGTCAGCTCCCTCCCAAGCAACCTGTCTGCTTTCATCTGCCAGCAAGGTCAGAGGATGCTGGATGATGCTCGGGGCTTGGCTGTCATTGTGACCGTTTCAAGGGCTGTATCATTACTGAATTACTCAATTACTCCAGTCCAGCCTCTTCATTTCTCACGGTCCATTTTCTTTTGTCAAGGTTGCTAAGGAACTACCTGCTGACTTTGGATACCTCGATCAGGCAAGTTTCTCCTCCCTGCACCTCCTTGCAAGGCTTTGCTGGCCTTATGTGCCAGACAGAGCTGAAATCCCAATGCTAAGACGCTGAGTGTGCTTGAGCTATCGGTGCACGTATGGCCATATATCTCATGCAGCTCCACAGCTGCAAAAGGAGTAGTGGGGCCACCCATGCTCTAAAATCACCCAGCACTTTGCAAACTCCACGAGGATTATTGAAGCTGACTTTATGTTAATTAAAACCCAAACGTGCATCTCTCCTCCTATGCTCTTCGCTTTTTATGGCCGTTCTCCAACGTGTGATGTTCAGGAATCTTCTGGCTTTGCCCCGTTTGGAGCAGCCCCAACTCCATGCACCTGGAAAGCCAACAGCTTGCCAGCTAATCACTCGGCCCTAAAAGTCTCCCCGACCCCACAATCAAATCATTTCAAGAAACTCAATTAGAGTGACGTGACATTTCCAAGGAAACACCGAAGAGGCATTCCGGTAATATTTTGGCCCTGCCAAAACGGTTCAGATGGCAAATCAATAATAAATGTTTAAGGTTAGATGTATTAAAAAAAAAAAAAAAATCAAGTTATCAATTTCCCATTATGCCTAAGCTCACAGAGCACTGATGGGAAATTCAAACTGCATTTAATACACCCAGCAGAGGACTGAACAGCTTGATATTATACACTTGCCTACAGTACTGGCTTCCACTCCCCAGCTCTTCCAGGCTGCTTTGAAGACTGGATTAAATCCCCCATCTGCCTGGTGAGCTGCTGCTTTGACCTGTTTTGTCAGCATGGTTTATGATGAAAAATCCTGAGCAAAATCAGCTCCAGGAGGCTCTGCCGCTCTCCTTAACCATGAAATCAGGGAGCTAAATCATAGAATCATGGAATGAATTGGGTTGGAAGGGACCTTTAAGATCATCTAGTTCCAACCTCCCTCCTATAGGCAGGGACACCTCCCTCTAGACCAGGTTGCTCAAAGCCTCATCCAGCCTGGCCAATTCGACCACAAAATTTAGGTTTGAGATATGCTCTCTCCTGGCCAAGCATGAAACTCAAAACTGCCAAGAAATTCTGCACGTGAGGAGATGAAGCCCTATTTAAGCTGATGGCAGTAGACTCAAGAGCAAAAATTTGTCCCATTCCTTCAATGTCCTGGGAATAATAAGGCAGAAAGAAATTCTGGGAATCCTTAGTGTTCTCAGGTAGGTACCAGATCTTGTGTCCATGGTCCCACATCCATGGTCCCAGGTCCATTGTCTCACCCACAGCTCCCTCCTGACCATCACTGTGCTGCTGATTCACAGCCGTAAAAATTATCTTCATGCAATTACCATTGCTTATCTTCTCCTCAGACTTGATGTCAGCATAACATGTCTGCCAAGTGCTTTGCTGGCCCACAGAAATACACCCTCCTGTTCTCCAGTGCCCTGGTAAAATTGATAGGTGGACAAAGAAATGTGGGCCTGGGGCCACTCGGGGAGAAGCCAAGGGATGGAGGAAATCTTCCTGCCTTGTTTTTGATCTGCCCATATAAATATTTTTTGTTCCAATCCAGCTGTGGGCTGGTTTGCATCAGGAAGGATCATTCCACGTCCCTGTTCATTGCAGGGGAGTTGGACCAGATGTCCTGTAAGAGTCCCTTCCAACTCAAATGATTCTATGATTCTATGACTCAGGGCACGGGATGTTGCAGCCAGAGACATCCCAGCTCAGGTCGATGTGGATGAACTGTTATACAGGTGCCCTTCCTACGTCCAAGTCCCTTTTCTCCATCTCTTTTAAGGCTCTGAAATGTTCGCTCTGCAAAACTGTGGCATTTCAACACATTGTTCCCCTTGGCAAGTTTCCACCTAAAGATGAATTTTCCTACCTGTGCATGGTGACTGTTCTTTCTCAGTCCAATATCTCCTGGGCTGCAGCACCTGCACAGCCGGGCACCCCAGAAACATTGCTTTATGCTGTGGCCTCACCTGGAAACACAGCAAAGCTTTAATTTGGATGAGGCTGCAGCCAATATTTTGCTCAGCCAGGAACATTTTGTTTCTACTCTGAGGGAATTTCTTTTTTTTTTTTTTTCTTTTGCTGTGATGCAGTGCCTGAATGTTTTTTTGTCTTGCCGAAGTACAGGAGAGATTGGAAATGTTAGTCTGAAAATGTCACTTCTCTTGTTTCCAGCTTTTACCAAATTCTATTTATCTATCTATCTATTTATTCATTTATTATTATCTATTATTTTGGTTGCAGGAGGAATGAAAAACCCAGATTTTTCTGCTAAACTCTCCTTGGAACCTGGGACATTGTGGGCAAGGGAAATCCTGCTGTACTACCTGTAGCAATGAGGCAACCCTGCTCAGCCTGGGAAATCTGAGCTCAACCTTTTAATAAACACCCCTGATAATTTCCTATTTATTTCCCCCAGTTTCTCACCACCATAAATCCTCATTTAACCATTACATTCTCACCAAGGCTGTTTGGAGGAAGAAAGGCAATCCCCAGTGCAATCCTTGAAGACATGATGCAATGAGTGGTGTCGTTTTCAGGCACCACATTTCCTACCTCGATGCATCATGACAGTGCTTTTTTCACTCTTGTAGAAGACAGAATCTTCCACTTTTGTGGTTGCTTTGGCAAATTATGAGTATTTGAGGACACAGGAGAGACTTTCACACTGTTGGATCTGCTTTGTCCCTTCCAGGAGTCCATATTGTCCCATGATATGCACGTGGAGGAGATGTTACTGAACAGGACCCCTCTAATCTGGGCCCACAGGGACTCCAAAACCCAAAGGTTTACCCTCCCACTTGATCTCCACATCTCTCCTTGAAGACATGGAGATGGCATCTGTAGGGAGAAGTTCATTTGCTTTCTTATCATACAATCTGGGACAGAGAAACTGGGCTTGCTGAAGACCAAGGGGAGTTTGTCTGCCATGGGATGGGGCTCAATCTACTCACTTGATTGGACACTGGGCAATGGAAATTTCCACTATTCTATCTGCTTTTCTTAAAAGGGTCACTGGTCCTGAGTTGAATTATGAGCTAGAAACGATACTCAGCAGCATTAACACACTTTTATTTTACAAAAATAAACTCATGGTAGGTGTCACCTGGATTTGCACAGTCATGCTGCAGGACAAAGAGTACAGATGTGAGCCTCTGGGCTTTCCTGAGCACTCAGATGATTCCCTCTCTTCATACCATTTTGTTTCCTGATCATAATTACAAGTATTCCAACATTGCTTCTTCTTCATGTTGAATGGCTTGTCTTGCTTGTTAAGTCTCCAAGATGTCCCAGAGAAACTTCTTGCAGCTTCATTTATCTTTGATTGATGCATGGCAACTGCAGCTGATCACCTCCCTCTGACTGGTGTCGGAAAGCAAGGAAAGAGAAAACAAAGGGGATGTTGGAGGTTGGATGTGGCATGGGCTTTATTTTGAACCTCCCCTGTCTGGAGAGGCTCAGGAGGTCTCTGATGCCATGGGATGTCCATGCCTGGTCACGTTGTGACATGCCAGACATTGATAACAGCAAATATCCTGATTCAGGTCAGCTTTAGGAACTCTTCAGGGTCAGTGAGGAGAAATCATAAAATCATTGTAGAATCATTCAAGTTGGAAGGGACCCCTAAAGGTCATATAATCCAACTCCCCTGCAGTGAACAGGGACACCTACAGCTTGATCAGGTTGCTCAGAGCTCCGAGCCTGACCGTGAACGTCTCCAAGGATGGAGCATCTGCCACATCTCTGGGCAAACTGTTCCAGTGCTTCTCTACCCTTATGGTGGTTCATGGAGGACACTGACTTGGCCTGGTTTTGTAGGACTATCACTCCACAATGGCTGCTTCTCTCTATAAAGGGAGATATGGAGCTGAAGATATCTACAGGGAACCTATATGCTCATTTAATGCTCATGCCCCACGCTTGCAGCATTGGACATGAAGCAGCTCATTTCTTACTCAGGGATTTAAAGCACTGAGAGTGACTTCCCCAGGTGTGGTGCACTGCAAAGAGACAGACCAGTAAATGTGAGCACTAGCCAGGCTAAGTGGGTGCCAACTAGCAGATGAACCTCATCAAAATCATTATTGTAGTATTTGTTTTGGAGAACTAATACATTTCTTCTGCTGTCCAGAAGGATTTCTTCCATTTAAAGAAAAGGCTGAGAGAGGAGCACCTTTCTAGGAAAGCATTTCAGCTGCAGCTCATGTATTGCTTGGCAGCTGTAGCATTTGCATTACTGTCAGGGCCAGGAGGAGCTAATTTCATACAATCATAGAATAGCTTATGTTGGAGGGGACCTTAATGATCGTCTCATTCCAACTCTCCCACCATGGACAGGATTGCCAGCCATCAGATCAGGCTGTTCAGGATCCCCCTCCAACCTGGCCTTGAATGCCCCCAAGGAAATCTTCCACTGGTGCTTGTATGAACCCTCCACCTCACCCCCATGTCCACCCTGTGTTTCATCAAGCTCAAGGAAGGAGATGTTCGGGAGCTCTCAGGATGGGCTGGAGGGGATCTGAGTGCGGAGTCCACTGGGAGCAAGAGGAGAAGCAGACTTTGAAACTAGAGGCACCACTCCAAGTGAAACTTGGATGTATGGATGGAGAAGGTTATAGGATTGCCTGGGCAGGAAGGGTATGTCAAAAGCCACAACAGCTGGGCAGCCCATCTGGAGAAGTCTATGGGCAAATTGGCCTCCTCAAGGCCTTTGCTGCCATCCAAAGTGGCAACTCTTCCTTGAACACATCCTTTTTCCCTACAGGTGAAAGGAACAGCTTCTCCTCCTTCTCCCCTTTTCATCTGACCTCACCACCATCCTCCCATGCTGCTCCAAATCATCCTTCTATCATCCTGGCTTATTAAAAGAGTAGCAGAGTTGCCCTCGTCCTGCTGCAGCTTGCAGCCTGGGTCCTTGGTGGCACACCATAAGGCAATGGAGGCGGACAGATCCTGGATGTGTTTTCCTGCTTCCTCCTAGGAGGAAGAGAGCCTAGTGGATTTCTCACCTGCTGAGATTTTGCAAAGCCGTTCACACTTCCTTTTGGTTTCAAAGCGGTTGCTGTTCCCTTGGCATCCCCCAAAGATGAAGGGTCGACAGACTTTTGCTTCTGGGTGGAAGTACCAGCGCAGGGTGTAGTGTCGACAGGAGCCCTCGTCCATTGGCTGTAGGCAGGGGGCTGCAGGGAGACACCCCACAACCACTCACATGTGGGATTTAGGTGGGAAAAGACCACCTTGGACAAACACATGGGGCTGGTGCAACGGCTCCCATTGTCCCACGGTCATCACAATGAGGTTGCAAGAGCAAAAGAGGCAGCAAGGACCAAGGGTGGATTCCCGTAGTGGGATGAGCACAAAGCTCCTCACTGTAGGGTTGGTTGCTTCCGGGGACATTGCACAGGAAACTCTCACCGTGCACTTTTTTTTTGGTATGGTTGGACAACACAGAATGGTCTGAAATCACCCCTACTTTGTTCACTACCAGAACGAATGCAGCTACTTTAAGTCAAGTGTGAAGCTGAGATTTGAACCTCTGCTTGCTGGCGAGTGTAGCTTTTTCAGCCCCACATCCCCTTGATCTCAGAGCCAAAAAGCACTTCCCACCCGAGTAGTGACTTCCCTAAATGTCACTTAATTCAGTTTATTTCACCTGGTAATTGATCGTGAGCTTCTCGGCGCTTGTACAGAGGAAGACCTCTTATTGGCTGCACACTGGAAGCTGCTGGGGAAGCAAAAGGAAATCACACATAATAAGGGCACGCAAACAAATTAGCCATCATTTAAATATTGATCATTGGAGCCTTACATGGCTTTCTGCTGGCTATCAAGTTCCCTTAATAAATGTCATGGAGTTATTGGTGAGGCAGGGGGAAGAACTGGCAGCAATAAAATTCTTAATGGTATTAAACAACTCAGTCAAAAAGGTTGGGTGTTAGTCAGAGAAAATAGAAGTATTTGTGGTTGCTTGCAGGAGATAAATGTCAGGCTGGAGTTTTGTAAATCTGGAAGCTTTGAAAAGCCAGCGGCGATTGTAATCTGGCAGTAATAACCCTCCGACTGCAGAATCCTGTTAACATTTCCAGCGCCTATCGGCACTCATCACTTAGTGGAGCGATTTATGGGCCCTCCTGCCTCAGACCCAGGCTTTAATGGGATTGTCGGCTGGCGACGGCGGCAGCTGTGATTCAATAACATGTGGTACGCTCTGCCGATCTCAAACCGCCCCGATCCCAAACGCTGCCTTGATATAAAGTGAGTTTAAATCCAGATGGATGACGTCTCCCAAGTGCAGCACAGATATTAGGTGAGAGTTTGAGTGATGGGCAAGAGGAAAGTGGAGATGGTTGAGGCCAGCTTCAGGTTTAGCTGGATATGTGGGGATTATTTGTTCCTTAGAGGGTTACATGGGGAAAAAAATGAGATAATCATCACTAGGTTTGACTTAAAACTCTTCCCAGAGCTCATGAAAGTACCATCATGTGTAATAAAGGTAAAGATATTTAAAATGTAGGTCAACAACCTGTGTAGGCTGCCACTTGTTTTGAGGTTTGAAAGTATGTATTATTGGAGTCACACTTTTTAAATATATTCCAAAGTAGCAGAATTGATTGCCCAAATCATTTGTCTTTCGGAATGCATCTTGCCCTGTCAGTACCTATCTCTCTGAGCTGAATCAGTGACTGTCCCCCTCAGGGCTGCTCCCTTCATACAACTCAACCCTCCTCCTCCTGTTGACAAAATCTGAGAAGTCGTGGTGTAAACATCTGAATTTCTGGTTTGCTGAACTGGAAGAAGTGAGACTCAACTCTCCCCTCCTCTACTGCACTTTCTTGCGATATGTTTGGACTTTGAGTACTGAGTGAAGAAAACACTTCATAAGCAAGCCCATAATCCTCCTATTCCTGTCCACCACCATTTCTGCACAGTGCTTTCACTCTCTGTCTCCCAAAAATCAAGACTAAAAGGCAAATGTCACAGATGAAGTCAGAAGGACCATGGGTGAATGCGGAGTGGTCTGAAGATGTGATGGATATGTGGGCAGGTGGTTCATATGAGTCACATTTGGTGAAGGTAATTTCCATCTTGCTGCCAAGATTCAGGGCAGAAATGCTCAGAAACTCCTAAAATCAATTATATCAAAGGCTTTGCTCACCTCCATTTAGTGTGCAGGGCACAGGGATGCCCATAGATCCCGGAAAAGCCACCCATGAATTATTAGCCCATGGGGATAGAAGGAGGTATAAGACTTGTATTTGCTGAAGGGATTTGATGGGTCATCAGGTCTCCATGACTGAGCAAAGATGTTCCTCACTCTAATGCTCATTACAGTGGTTCACAGAAAAAAAGGGTTGATGATCTGAAATTAAGCTGAAACTGCCCCATCCTGTCTTTTCTTTGGAGAGATGGTCATTTTTAGCCAAGCTTTAATGGAGCTCCTGATATCCAACAGATCCGTCTCCTGGGCTTTTCTGCCAGGACACCATCCCAGTTAATCCCAGAGTGGTCCTGGAGCAAACTGGGGATTCATCCTATCTGTGCCTGCAGGCCAGGCCATAACATCCTTCCACCCCTGTACAGACAGGACTGTACTGCATGCATCTGCAGAGCAGGACCTTGGTTGTTCTGTCTCCCCCTCTCTCTTGGCCAACATAAAGGGTGAGAAATAGAGCCAGTTGTTTTTCCATTAGCTGCAATCATGAGTTTTACCCATTAATATGTTCATGAGGCCCTGGGCAGAAATAGTCTGTAATAGCTTGAGTGTTTGGTCTCAAAGATGCAATTTTTGGCTGATAGAAAGCCTTACTAGAAGTTACAAAGGACATGAGGGGGACAGCATCAGCCTGAAAATGTTGGCTGCTTTCTTCCAGCACTTAAAAATGTGTTCTTTGGTAGGTGGTGATCACCAATGGTGCCACGTGTGTTTGGCATTTCCCTCAGCCACACACTGGAGTGTTGGATGATCTCACCTCTGAATCACAGAGAAACACGGGGGATCTCATGTAGGAGCCCTTGTTGGAAATCCCATATCTGTGTCCTTTCTAACACAGAGGAAAGGAATTCAGCACTGGGTTCATGCTGTGTTCTGGGAGAGGTGAAGACATCATCTCCCATGATAGAAAAGCTCAAAAGCAATCAGCCAGGCAGATGTACTTACCTGTCGTAAGAGAAGGTGTCTCCAGGAAGGACTCTGATGGTGTCATCCATGTGGTCATGCTCTGGGTTTTGTTAGGCATTTCCTCCCAGTGTTCACCATCCCTTCCAGGGTGTTTTTGAGGCTGAAAATACCCTTGAAGCTGCCTCTTGAGTTCAATTTCTTCCAGGCCTGTGGATTTAATTGCTGGGTCAGTGATGATGAAATCTGGCACCACAGTTTGACAGCTGAGCTCTCATGCTTAGAAAAATAATTGTAGTTCAACAAAGTGACTACTAGTATGGGAGAAAAGTCACAACTCAATGTTGCACCTTCAAAAACTCACAGGCTCACAGGTATGGCATCAGATTAGGAAACCATTTTTCAAATCATATACGCTGTAAAGAAGGGCAAGAACTTATGGACAAATCATACTGTCTCCCATCTTCCCAAGGAAGGCTGGGATATGTTAAACTTACTCAGAATAAAGGTTGGTTTTAAAGGAAACTGTTCCCAAGGAGTGATGGAACTCATTGGTACCTCCATGGCTGTGTTCACCGTGTCATTTGGGATGCAGATGATCAAAGCTATAATTAAAGGTCTGTGGGACCTGTAGCATCTTCATGACACGTTGAGCTGTGCCAGTCTTCTTGGTGGATGGGCAGCATGTTAGCAGGGCAAGTCTTTTATGAAGTTTTGGCTTTATGCATGTACAGGGTTGGAAATTACAGGGTGGTAGATCTGATGGAGCCTGGCTGTGCAAAATTGACCCAGAAACATGTTTTAAAGCAATGTGGACCAGCAAACTGAATCCATTCCATATCAACTCTGTAGCATGTCCACTGTGGTTTTGATCTGGCTTTGCAAACTTACTGCTATTTCTAAAAAGATGCCTTGAACATGAGTTGGAGACAGGACGATGTGCTTCTGGCTGAGCATCTGGATAACACACAGAGCCCTTGGGTAACATCTGAGTTATGAATGCAAAACATTTCACCAAAGGTTTTTTTTGTAGGAGCACGGAGGCTTCCGTGTCCAAGAGCATTCAGCACGCAGGATTCATTTGCCCTGATTTATTACAGCAGCAAGTAGAGGCCAATGCAAGGGCGGGATCCCAGGGATGGGGCCATGGACAATACCAGGGAGAAACCTCTACCCTGATAGCTTTGCTTTCTAAATACAGAGCAGGAGAGGGGGACGCAGAGTTTGGAAAAGACTAAATTGTTCCTAATGTAATTGGGAATGTCCCATGCCAAGGGAGTACCCAGCTGCTCCGTGTGTCTGTGATTACATTGGCTCAGTACAGCCAGAGCAAGGTTGCTGCCAAGCAGCTTGGCTATTTGCTTCTTGACCCATCTCTCTGTTTAGTAAGTCCCCGCCTTTGTGAAATGCTCTGCTTTATATACTATGAAACAATGTGCTATGAAGGCTAAAACAACAACAACAACAACAACAAATAATTATGGAGGAAAAATTAAAGCAAATCCATTTCTGGAGAAGATATATTCATTTTAGAGGCAAGCTGCTGCTCATCCTTTGATTATGCCTGTTTTAAGCGCCGGACAGGTAGGGAAAGACCAACTGCAGTGGCTGCAAGGAGAGTGTCTGGTGCCATCCAAGTCAGTAATGCCCTCATGTTACAAAGCCCAAAAACTTCCCATGATGACATACAGAGTGTAAGATACATCCACGCATACCTTTGGATGCATCACCCTGGGCACTGCCCACCCAGAAAGTGACTCTTCTAAGTGTTCTTTAATTCAGCAGAGAGGATAAGCCCTTGGCCAAATGTTGGAGTTGGACTCCATGATCCTTATAGGTGCATTCTGACTCAGGTTATTCTAAGATTCTATGATTCTGAATGTAGGGTCTCCTGTATACCAGCAGATTGACCATCCAGATGACATGGAGCATAAGAAATAGGACTCCAAAGCAGGAGATGGAATGTTGTATTCTGTCTTGCAGTACAGGGTGGAAGTTGGTGACCTCTTGGCTTTTCTCTTAACCCTGTTTCTCCATTTCCCTCAAGAAATAGCCCTCCTAAAAGCTGGGACCTAAAAACGCTTGGTGATCCAGGGTCATTTTCCATGTTGAAACTCAGAAAAAGGTATTTAATGACATCTTTTCACTCAGTCTAGGGGTAAGGAGAAACATCCTCTAAGCCAGCGCACACTCCCATGTATTTCAGTATGGATATCAACAGACTTACCCTTTTCCACAAGCATCCTTCCCAGCTCATCTCCACAATCTGCAAAGAGAAGACAGGGCAGAGTTTGTTTGCTGCTTCTTTTTTTCTTTTTTGGCCATTGGAAAGATTTTTTTTTTTAATGAAATGATTATTGTTATTGGCAGCACATGCTTTCATGGGTTATATTCGATTTCTATCCCTTAAAACATTCAGATGTTTCCTAATGTCAGAAACAAGTGTGACTCCATTTTAATCATCTTGGCAAGTGCAGTGGTGACCTCCAATCCTCTTTGGCCATAGGAATGCTCAAAAGAGTTGGGCAGCTCTGCTGGACCTTTGCAGGGCAAGGAAGCAACAACCACAAAAGCCAAAAACCTTTGTGATGTGGGGGCTTGGGGTTTGAAAAATCCCAAAGTGTGGTCTTCCCCACTATTTTTTTTTGTCACCCTTCTGGTCTTGGTTGACCTTCTGGAACAGGCTGCCCATGGAGTTGGTGGAGTCACTTGCCTGGAGATGTTCAAAACACGAGGAGATTTGGCACTGAGGGACATGGTTAGTGGGCAGTATTGGTGGACAGTTAGACTGGATGATCTTAGAGGTCTTTTCCAGCCTTAATGATTCTATTCTTCTGCTTTCACTGAAGAGGTGTCAAGAAGTGCCATGAAGCAGAGAGGAATTAAAGTGTTGTTATCATGCAAAATTTCCCCCATTTATCTCCAAAGTTTATCTCCAAACTTTTCCCTGTGACCCAGAACCTTTCACCAATCAGTGGGGAAATGGAGATGAGTGGGGAGGAAAGCTTTGCTGACAAAACCACCAGGGAAGAAACGTGAAGACAGAGATTTTAAAGGAAACGTGAAAACAGAGGTTTTAAAGGGAAAGATTTAAAGTGTGACTAGGAGGTCAGGGTTACAGCAGAGACTCTGCAGCCCAAAAGCCCACACTCATCTCCAAGTAGACGGGAGGTGACGCATCTATGCTCACTGCTAATGGGGTGATATTTGCTGGGTCAAGCAAGCCTGTGCTGCCACTCAAATTACTCCAATTTAGTCGCTGCCAGCAGCTCGCCAGCTGACTTACCACATTGGCCTCTCATTTCGCTCCTGACCACCTCCTTCACCTCTTCCTCCTGTGCCACAGGGAGAAAAAAAATGATTAATAGAGATTTTCTACCCCTGCACCATCTCCCTCAGCTTTTTCTTTCCCATTCTGCTGGTGCAACCTCACCTGGAGCACTCTTTGCAGTTTTGGGTGCCACAATAGAATAAAAACATAAAACGATTGGAAAGCACCCAAAGGAGGGATATGAAGGTGGAGAAGGCTCTGGAGGGCAAGATGTGTGACGAATGGCTGAGGTCCCTAGGTTTGTTTGGCCCAGAGCAGAAGAGGATGAGGGGAGGCCTCATGGCTGCCAACAATCACCTCATGGTGGCCTAGAACTCCTTAATGGTGGCCCTACAGCCTTCTCATGTTAAGATTCTGCATCAGAGGGTGATGGGCATGGAGCATGCTCCCAAGGATAGTGGGCCCAGCACCTAGCTGTTAGAGCTCAAGGAGTGCTTGGACAACACTCTCAGACATAGGGTTTAGGTGGTGTGGAGTCAGGGATCCTTGTGGGTCCCTTCCAAGTGGGGATATTCTATGATTATGTCCTAGCCAGACTTCTCTTCATAGAATCACAGAATCATTAAGGTTAGAAAAGGCCATTAAGATCATCTAGTACAACCATCAACCTGTTTTTACGATAAGGGTATTGAGGCACTGGAACGTGCTGCCGAGAGGTGTGTGGATGCCCCATACTTGAGACATTCATGGTCAGGCTGGACCAGGCTCTGAGCACCTGATCAAGCTGTAGATGTCTCTTTTCACTGCAGGAGAACTGGACTAAATGCCCTTTTAAAGTCCCTTCCAACTCATATGGTTCTATGATTCTGTGAGTTGAAGTTGAGCATCCTGCATGTCCAGTGGCAGGCATTTTAATGCAACTTTGTATGATATGGTCACTGTTTTTTCAGGATGACAAATCTCGGGGCATTTACTGTATAGAAAGCTTATCTTAACTCAGCATCCCATTCATAGGACACCCTTACCATTAACATCTATTATAAAACTAATAGTGCCAGACATCTACACACTGAAAAGATGCAAATACAGCATGGTATCAATCCTATCTGCCAAGCATGAGTTTGAAAAAACACGGTAAGGATGGAAGAGGAGAAATATGCCCCAAGCTCTGGGTCATTGTTTGCACTCTCAGTGTGCTGCCTAGCACACTGCTCCTGCTTCAGCCCATGTAAATCTGACCCTTGTCTGGGTAAAGGCCAACACTCTCATTTCCCAGATATTCTCTGCATGAATTTATTTCTCATCATTTCCCTCCTCCCTTACGCCTCTTAGGGGCATTTTGCCCTATTTTCTCTATTCAGCCTTGTGTAACACGATGAAATCTTAGACTAAAGTACTCACAGAAAGACCAGGATCTCCCTTTTCTCCTTTCTGACCAGCTGGACCATTTTCACCCTGTTAAAAACACTTAAGTCATTACAAAAGCTCAGTAAATTGAACATTAAATGCTCCAAGAATAAGTGCACCTTAGAGAGGAAAGGATGCTCTAGAAATGGAGATGGGGAAAAATGCTCACGTGTTTTCCCATAAATTTAAGGGTTATCAGTGAGCAGGAAGGAATGGTATCATCCACATGCAGGGAGACAAAGCGTGTGTCAGAGGGCTGGTGCAGGCTCCCTCACCAGGACACAAGGATGGCTCATCCTCATACTGACCATTACTCCTTTTTGCCCATCCATGCCTGGAGGACCTCTGAGGCAGAGTTGAGGTCTTCCTCTTCTCCCTCGTGGACCCTAGAGAAGATGAGAACAGCTCCATTAGCAGTACTGGGACAGTCTCTGGAGATCTTTCATGACACAACTTGGGGTATTTCCCCTAAAGCTCAATGTGGGGATCAGTAGAGGAATTGAAGAGTCCTCTGGATCTCCAAACAGACCAGATGTGATAAGACAGAACCCTGGACTTTGCACCATCTGCCCCATGTGGGCAACCACAAGGATCTCCTTATAGCCAACAACCTTCAGAAAGGGCAAGTGCTATGGGGCAGAAGTTTTCTTTCTCCAGCTCTTTGTTCAGCACTAATTTAAGAAGCAGAGTCTCAGCAGGAGGAGAAGGACTTGCAGAGTATGATAACACCCTCTCACATTAGAAACAGTTCAGACCCAGCGGCTTTCTCTTCTTATTTAGGGAAAAGGCAAGTAGAAGTTGTGAGTGTAGAAAGTGGCATCTCACAGTCTCTCGTTAATCATTGTCTAAATGAAAGTCATTTATTATCTCATACCTGTCTTTCTGAGCATGCAGTGCTTGTAAATGCTAATCTAAAAACTTCCAGCCTTTTTAAACATACATGAAGGGCTCTCGTACTTTCGGCTCCTTCCTCCCCTGTGTGATTCTTTCGATAAATTTTTCATGACAAGGTGCAGCCCAGGGAGTGAGGAAGGAAAGAGCAATGGTCTGGGGCTGGATTTGGCCCATACTTCAGTGTTCTAGAAAGGGGATTTCTATACTTTGCCCGCTGTAAGGACAGTTCTTCCAATAATCACCCATGGTTTCATGATGAAACACAGCATGGGATTCAGCTGTAGCTGCTGAGCAATGCTGGAGTCCCAAAGCTTCCTCTATATTCAGGCTGTTCTGAATCAAGCCTTTATTTGATGCCACAGGACATAATACAGACGATCAACCTGATTATCACTACAACACGGACTTGGCTCCACCACCTTCCTTAATTCTTCCCTAGGACTTAAACCCCTGCATTTGGTATTCCTTGTGTTCTGGTTACAAACTTTCTCAACACATGGCATTTTTTTGGTTAATAATCAACAAACCTGCACAGAAACCTTTAACCAATCCTCTGCTAGGCTCCAGTTGGAGTTGGAAGGCTTTAGAGTTGGAAGGGATTTTTAAAGGCCATCTGGTCCAACTCCCTTGCAATGAATAGGGACATCTACAGCTCAGTCAGGTGCTCAGACACACCATCCTGACCTTGGATGCCTCTAGGGACAAGGCATCCTCTATGTCACTGGGCAGCTTGTAAAGGTGCCTCACTGCCCTTATTGTAAGAATGGCAGTGAATCTAGTTGACCTAATGAGGTCCAGACTCATTTGGACTTCATGCAGAATTGTGCCTGAACAATCCCAATTTCTACCTTTGACAGCAAGAACATTTTTCACTGATGCATCTTCACCAGCATAGACCTGTAATGTCAAATGTAGCTGTACATCAACTAAGTTCATTGTGCTTTTAAACGTGTTTGTAATTTGGCACAGGACCATGATGCAGTGGCCATGAGAGTTTGGATTATTTGGCTGGGATAAATCTGCAGTACATAAAAGATTAAAGCCAGAGTTCCTACTTCTTTTCCTTATCTCCAAACTACAATGCAATCTACTTCCCATCTGGCAGCAAAATGAAGTTTTTTTTTGCATTTGGGGTATGGTTTAGTGGGCATGGTGGTGTTGGGTTGATGGTTAATCTTGATGACCCTTGATTTCTTTTCCAGCCTTAATGATTCTATGATTTTGCAGACAGTATGTGTACACGTGTTGTTTACATACACACACACAGATGGATTAACTCCTTAGACTTACTTTTGTTAAGGACAAATCACTCAATGGTGTTACATGTCACACCAAGTGAGGCCAGTGCAAGTTAAAACAAGGCTATCTCTGAGATGGCTTATTTGACATAGTTTATCTTTCAGGTAGTTACTCAACTTCAGTTTTTCTTTTGTTCTCTCTTCTTTCATATTAATGTATATATTCTTTCATTCAAGCCTAAAACTCAGTCAGTTTCACCACTTGAAAAAGGTATTTTCACTTCCAGTCCTCTTCCATTTGAAAAATTTTCGTTACTTAATGGATGCTATCTAAGGGTGGATGATTAACATTAATCTCTAGTATTGTCCCTCTGCATTGTGTTGGCAGCAGCAAGACACCCTTCATTACCATAGAATCTGGAGGCAGCATGTTCCTACTCATAAACAGCATTAGCATGTCTCATTTCCAAGTCTTTTTGTTACATTCAAAAGATGCCTAGCATGTCTTGCATGCAAAGACACCTGTTAAGAGTGGGCTTCAAACAGGGTTTGAAAGCCACTTGCTCCTTCTGGAGCCTGGGCATCCTGCTCCCTAGATAATAAGCAATAGGAGGGGTGCACTTGATGCTAACTTGAAATTAGCAGCCTTCCTTCCTTCATTGAGAAGTCACGTCTTGCACTGCAGATAGGAAGAGGGGAAAGGAAAAAATACTTATGGGGATAAATACACCAAGAGATGAAGTATATCGACCAAGATCCCACAGAAAGATAGCAGATGTTGCAGCCATCCTCTCTCAGTCTGGGAGACCTCAGGTGCCAGTTCGTAAGTGGAGGATATGTATGGAATCATAGAATCATTAAGGTTGGAAAAGACCTCTAAGATCAAGTCCAACCATCGACTCCCACCATGCCCACTAAACCATGTCCTCAAGTGCCACATCTCCACAGTTTTTAAGCACCTCCAGGGACAACAACTCCACCACATCCCTGGGCAGCCTGTATACATGGTGATGTGGGGGGATCCATCTGGGGTTCTCTGTCACATGAGGGTTTGAGATGCAACCCTTTGGATGGCAACTGGAGCAGAGCCCTCCAAGGAAGATAAATCCATGAGGTCTAGGGCAGTGTCTTATCTCTTCCAACTATTGGAGAAGCACAGCTGTGTGCTGATCCTTGCTGGAGTTGCTCTGTAAGTGTTGGTATATGGGTTTCCAGACAGCACAGCTGTCATGGCATTAAGAATCATAGAATCATAGAATTGCTCAGGTTGGAAAAGACCTTAAAGATCATCAAGTCCAACCACAGCCTAACCATACTACCCTAATTCTAACAACCCTCTGCTTAATCATGTCCCTTGCTGCTCACCTGTGGTCCTGGTTTGCCCTGGGGCCCTTGAGGTCCATCTGGTCCTGCAGCTCCAGCTTTTCCAGGCCATCCCATTTGTCCTTTGAAGCCTCCCAAACCAGGAATTCCCTTTGACCCCTAAGAATCAGCAGTAGAGAGCAGTTCAGAGATTTTATCAAGCACAGGTGGTTTTAGAGACAGGCAAACCAGATATTATCCAAATATCTTCATGGGCCTTGGCTATACATTGAGACCCTTCGGTTTTGCTTTCCATTTCTACTCTTCCAGAGAGCACATCATTGCTTGGTGACATGGATGTCCCTCCCCTCTAGGATGATGCCCAACAACTCCTAATGCCCAACTTTATTTAAATATGTAAGAAGATTCCTTTAGTCTGTCTTTTCCCATATCCATGTCTACAGCACCTAGGGGGCAGCAGTGTTATCCATTTTCTCTCCTCTGCAGCATGCCCAGCATCCTGCGTATGGTGGTGTTAAAATCATAGAACTGCAGAAAATCCCAAGATGGGAGGGAACCATGAGAATCATCCAATCCAAGTCATTGAGTTGAATAAACTCTGACAACTCATCCCACTTCAAAGGTCTGGATGGCTTTTCCTCATGCTAAGCATGCACCCTCCTGGGGTTTCATGCATCAGCAGGAGGTGAATTTAAGAAGACCTCCTTCTCCTGCCCTTTCCACCTGCAGTCCCAGCCTTAATGCTCCAGACAGTTGACATTTGACCGCTGAAAAGGGTACCTATGATGCATAAAGTGCATAATATTGTTAACTTGACCTGATGGATGTGGGATTCATTCTTTTATAAATGGCAGCTCGATGCAGTGTGGCAAGCACTAACCTTTTCTCCTTTCTCCCCAGGAATCCCAAAGGCACCGTCATCACCTGGTGCTCCTTGTTCACCCTGGAGGGAGCCAAGATAAAATTACTGCTGATGCAGACTTGGCGTGGTTGCGATTTTCTGAACAAACCCCCTCTTCTTCACATTACAATATTATTTATTAAGTGTAACCCATCAGAATCTCTCAGCCTGTGCACTAGTGCTACTCAAAGAGACTGAAAGTAATCAGTTAAAAAAGCCCCATTACTTATCATGTGCAGTAGTGCATGAGAAGCATCTGGGCTGGGGTGGATGAAGTTGGCTGAGTTGAGTGAACAGGTCCCTAACCCCAGATGTCCAAGAATTTTCACCCAAATATATGTCGGGCTATAGGATTAGATACAGAATAACCCTGTTTGTGCTGTCAAAAAGAAAGAAGCACATTACACAGGTTGTTTCCCAAAGGTTTTGGGCAATTTCCCATTTGTTGGCAGATGTGCAATTTAGGTATTCACCTTTGGTCCATATGGTCCATCTGCTCCTGGGATTCCTGGTTTTCCAGGACTGCCAATTTCTCCCTATGGATGCAAAATCAATGAATGGGATGTAAGCAAACACAATCTCTAAAACACTGGGAAAACTAGCTCCAAAATGTCAAGGCGAGTAAATGGCGCTGTGGAGGGTATGGAAATAATGACATTTCTGGTAGGAGAAACCCTAAATACAGGAAAATTCCTACTTCAGATTGATATAGACTTTAGACTGCCCTGACTTCATAATCACTTATGTGAAAGTAGGTGGGAAGTTCACTGAACAGTACTTAATTTGCCCAATAGGCCAAGGCAGATGAAAGAAAATATTAATAATAAAAATATATCCCCTTGGTTCAGTTGTCAAGTGTTCCCTTACATCTTACTGAGCTCTTCAAAACCCTTCATAAAAAGACCATTAAGGGCCATTATCCCTGTTTATAGAGAAAGGACTGCTGGTGCTGGCAATCAGTGCAATGTGCCTGGCAGTAATTGCAAATTAAGTCCAGGCAGTTGCTAAGCCACAGACCAGAAGGATATTTCAGAAGGAGTTCAGATTGTAAAAAAAAAAAAAGAAGTGTCAATCCCCAGACTGTGACCACATATCTCTGTGCTGCAGCCTGGAGCTTCAAGCCATAGAATCATAGAATCTTTAAGGTTGGGAAAGACCTCTAAGATCATCTGGTCCAGCCATCAATCCAACACCACTGTGGAGAGGGTCTTCTGCATGAGCTAGCATGGTTTTTTCAAGCATGGTGCTACCGTCGTAACAAGTAAGAAATAGGAATCACTGCTGGAAATGGGGCTACCAGAGCAGGAGATAGAGCTAGGCTGAGCTCACCTTGATGCCCTTGGCTCCTGGAGCACCAATGCGTCCTGGCAGCCCACGTAAGCCCTGGGGAGAAAGCAAATCATGGGAAGTCATTGATGTTGTATCAAGGTGAAGGCAAGTAGGATGAAAACAGTGCACTTGGTTAGCCCTAGTGCAAGAATATCCCTGACCCACAGGACCCTTCCCCATGAACCCCATCCAGCCTGGAGTCTGATTTCTCCTCTCTGCCTGTCCCAACCTTTTTTTCACAGGATGACAGAATGGCTGAGGTTGGAAGGGACCTCTAGAGGTCATTTTATCTAATTTTATCATTCTGCTCAAACAAGGCCATAAAGTGATGGCTGTCCAGGACAACATCCAGACAGCTTTTTGAATATGGAGATTTCATAGGATCTCACCCAGCCCCTACCTTTATTCCTTTCCTCCCAATGTCTCCAGTGATCCCAGGATCACCTTTTTCTCCCTAAAAATGAAATGAAATGAAATAAGATAAACATATAATACACATCCTGACAGGTTAAGAATGCCTCCCTGGTGGTTAAAGGTAGCATCATTTTACGTTTCTTTGTTCTTTTAACCACTTGGGACTCCTGGAAAATTTGCAGATCATAGATTCATAGAATCACTGGATGATTTGGGTTGGGAGGGACCTTTAAAGATCATCTACTTCAGCACTCCTGCCATAAGCAGGGACATCTTTAAACAGAACAGCTTGTTTTAAACCCTGTCCAACATGACTTCCATATGGGAAGTCCACAGCTTTTCTGGTCAGCATATTCCAGGGTCTCTCCACTCATTATTGAAAATTTCTTCCTCATATCCAATCTAAATCTATACGTTTATTTTCTGTTTAAAACCTTTCCCCCTTGCTTCGTTACCATAGGATCAAATAAAGTCTTCCTTTGTCTTTCTTATAACCCCCTGTTACACATGGAGTTAAACAACCCCAACTCTCAAGTAACAAAGGAAAACACATTGTGAATGGGAAAAGTTGAACGGCACCACTAGAGATACACACATAAATTCTCTACTGGCATCTAGAGAAGACTCCTAAAAATTGGGCCAGGATGTGCATTAGAGCCCTCTCTAGGAAGTTTAGGCACAAATTTCATCTCTCCTTTTGAAAGAGTCGCCCTGAACTCTTATTTCTAATTCCAGTAATGGGAAACACAGGATGTGGGAGGAGAAATGAGCTCAGGTTTGAGAAAGACCAGGAGCCTCTTTCTGCCTTCCAAACTAACCATATCCTTTCTTGCTACTCACTGGCTTCCCCTTCTGTCCCTGAAGACCTCTGTCACCTTTGGCTCCCTTGATTCCATTCCTCCCATCGAGGCCTGCTGTACCCTGCCAAAGAGGAGCACAGTGAATTTCTGGGTTAGCTTTTGCAAGGAGATCACAGAGTACAGTCATCAGGGTGGAAATTCAGTAGTAAGAGCCTGAGTAGAATGTTCCAACAGTTGGAGATCAGAAGCCATTCTAATACTAGCACTGAAAGATGAAGCTTGGGTTAACAACCATTGACAACCAGTAGCAAGTGCAATCCCGAAGCTGGCTTTTTTACAATCACAGGTTGGGAAACTGAGGTGCACAGGGGTTAAAGAGTAGTTCTGGGGAAGAAAATTGGGATGGTGATGATTGCAGTTGGAAATAGGAGCAGAAACACTAAGCAGGCAGCATCCCACTGTGTGAGTTGTTTTGTTGGGTTGCCCACAATCCTGGGCACTGGGTCAGCAGCTCAGTTTCAGACCCATTCAGTCAAGAGAAGAAGTGCTACCTGGTGAAATTCAATTTGTGAACAACCATTCTACTTGCTGAGTGCAGATCCATGCATGGGGTTGTTCACCGTTGCTGTGCAGAGAACATCTCCCATCTGGGGATGAAAGAGATTCTCATCCAGCCCAAACACATGGGCAATATAGGACAGAGTTATTCCTCCATGAAAACACCACAGCATTGCAATCTGGAGGTCTATGAGCCATTCTACGTCTTAGCTCAGCCTGGGACATACAATACTTTATCAAATATTTATTTATATTTTGGATTAAAGGCAGTATTTGAGGACACACAGCATGCTCTTCCATGGCTCTGTTAATCACGTCTGGATTGGGTAAAGTCCATGCTCCTCAAGCCCTGCTTGCATGATCAGACCTGAATATCTCATGCATGCTGTTTATTTATTGGTAACTATTTATTGAAACAATCAATATGAAGCTCTTGCCGAGGAAGTAAATGGACTATAAAAAGCACAACTAATTAGAATTCCTGTTTGCTAGGACAGATTGAATGCTTAGAGGGTAATAAACCTTTTGGTTCAATGGTTAAATCTCAAGAGCCCAGGATACCTTCAATTGCCTGGCATTTTTCAGATTGCTCTGGTACAGATCTCTAGGTACAGATCCATCTGGCTAGGGATTTATATATATACACCTGTATCCAAGGGGATGGGCTAAGGCTTATTCTTGAGTACTGCCTGATCCTGAAGGAACTTGACACTAGCTAGCAACTTCCCAATTAGCTCTAATAGCCCTCTCAGCACCTGAATTTATTCATCCATAGGGGTTTCTGTGCCAAAGTGAGATCCTTCTGTCTTTTCTTGTGCTTCCTCTACCTTCCTGTCTCCAACTCATAGCTCTCCAGTGAGCCTTAGACTGCAAGGTGCTTCTTGCCTTCAGCCTGAAGGGAACCCAGTTGGCTTTAGGAAGAGTAAAGCTCAGAGTACGTGCTGTTAAGTAGAAGGGTAAATGGTCTTAGGTACTCAGTAGTCCAGTAAATCATAAAATCATTAAAGTTGGAAAAGACCTCTAAGATAATCAGATCCAACCATCAACCCATCCCCACCATGCCCAGTAAGCCATGTCCCTCAGTGCCAAATCTCCTCATACCTTGAGCACCTCCAGGGATGGTGATTCCCCCCCCCTCCTTGACCATCCTGTTCCAATGCATCATCACTCTTTCAGAGAAGAAATTGCCCCTTATAACCAACTTGAACCTCCCTGTCTTAAAAGAGTCAAGAAGGAAGAGGATTTAAAAACAAGAATGAGAGGAAAATGTTCATGCACTGAGCAAGGGAAACAAGCTGAATGGGAATTTGTTCCCTATGATTTACATTCTGTGTTTTGCCATGGCAAATGGAGGCTGGGCAATAAAAGCTAGTAAAATGGCAGTTTAAAGGCAATTACTGGTGGACTACTGGAAATGGCTTTTGCTGTTTGGTTCTGTTATTAAAGTGTTGCTGGAACAGGCTTCATTTAACTGTAAAGACACCAGGTTCCACAAAGGCACGGCAATGGAGAAGCTTAGTCATAAGTCCTGACGCAAAGATGACTTTGAGCTGAGGTTCTCTGCACAAATTCCTGCAAAGATTTGGGCTGGAGCCAGGGAGGAGCCTGTGTGATCACCAGGCTCAACGTCTCCATTCAGATGAGCTGAGAAATTAGCTGGGTCACCCTTGGAAAGCATCAAATCCATCTGCAGGAATGCATTGCAATCCGAAAAAATCAATCCAAAGCAGCAGGGAAGACACATCAAAGGACAAATGCATTTCCAAACCATGATAGAGGCCAGCCACGTTCAATCCAGGCACAGGGAGGGCAGTGATGTGCAGTGCAGACTCAAGTGATAGCAAATAATTGTATGCATTTTGCTGCATTGGCTAAACACAGTGAAGAATATGCAACTGTTCTTTCCATTTTGATAAAGGAGTTTGAAAACAGGTTTCAAGATTGAAAAAAAAAAAAAATTAAAAAATCATAAATTTACGTTTATGACACCATTTTCAGTTCATATCAATACAAGACCTGCAAGTCTTGGAACACATAGAGTTGCAATCAGATATGCAACTAAAAAAATCTGATCATGTCTCTTTACCCCTTTCATTACCCCTCTCTTACCAGAGGAAAACATCCCTTGCTTCACACTCACACCTTATTCATGAGCATACTGCCAAAAAGCAATGGCATTTGTGAACAATTGTCAAGGATGAAGAGCAGGAAAAGTAAAGTTTCATCAAAAAAGCCCTGATGAACACCTTGAGAATGTTCTAAGAATTGCAGTCACTTCCACTGAACCAGACTGATGCATCAGCTTCACAAAATCAAGGTCAAATATTCCACCAGCTGTATGCTTTTGTTCCTCTCTCTCTTTTTTTTAAACACTTTAAGAAAAATATTAAAAATTAAGTTGTCTTGTTACTTATATTCTGATGATAGCACATAACTTAACTAGGGTTCCTCCAAAAGCAATGCCTCTTGTTTTACGATGTTGGCCCATAATGTCAGAGGCGGATGTTGGTGATATGGTAGAAGTTGATCCTTCCCATCAGTATCCTCTCACATTTTTGTTGCTATGTGACAGGAGGCAGCAGAGGGGCACAGTCTGACAGAATGTCACCTGACGTGGAAGTGTGTATGAAGCAAAGGTGTATCACTGAATTCACCCATGTGGAAAATATTGCACCCATTGGTATTCACTGACACTTGCTGAATGTTTATGGAAACCAAACAATAAATGCTGCACAGTGAGGCAGTGGGTGGTACATTAAACAGTGGCAGTAATGGGTCACCTCTGCTGGTGCACATTTTTACGAGCACAACATGTGAGTTCTTGTCTATCATTGGTGAAAATACATAGCTGCTGGTGGTAACTGTGTTGAAAAATAGTAGCTCATAGCTGAGAATTTGCTCTATCAAACAGTGTTATTCTGCCCTCTGTATCTGTCATAGTCTCCATGGAAATAATTAGGAAGCATTACTTTCGGAGCAACTTATGTGGCTCAAGGTCCAAGTATGCCAAAAGTTCGGAGACTCATGGCATAGGCTGTTAGCTTTGCTAAAATGTTTCCCACCTCCTGGCCTTCAGTGCTCAATATTTGATGGGATGATACACCTGAAGGAGCTGAGTGTCTCACTGTGAGAGTTCAACTTTGTTTTTATCCCTTCCCTGCTGTGTCTTGTATCTGGAAGTCAATTTGTTTGGTGGCTAGAAGGTCTAGATGACCAAAGTTCCTGATTACCTTGGACTTTCCAGAAATGCTCATGGCACCCTCTTTGGCAAAATCATCCCAGATAATGGCTTTTCCTACCCTACGTGGGAAGTCAGAGGCACCTCTTGTCAAGCCCAGGATGAACATCCACACCCCACCTATCCTCACCTCTGGCTTGAAACCACCCACTGCTCAGCAGGCAGGAGAATTGGGTTTCCAAATGGGGTTAACTATTAGGCTTTCATTAGGTTCAAGCAGCTGGTGGAGGGAGGTAGGGCTCTCATGTTGGTTCCCTGAATAGCTCTTCAATAGCTCTATCTGCTTCAAGAGCTCTGGTGCTCTTATGTTGTCTGATAAAGTCAAATTCATGTTGGGTATTATCAAACCTAACATAGTCTTGAGTTAGAGGGCCCTGGTTGTAATGTAATGAAGTGGTTCTCTGCACAAATTCCTGCAAAGATTTGGGCTGGAGCCAGGGAGGAGCCTGCGTCAACAGCCATTTGGCTTCCTCAGATATAGGGCAAGGATCCAAGGACTGCTGGGCAGCTATAGAGCCCAGTTCTCATGAGGACATGAAGAACATCTCTGAGACTCTATCTGTAAAGCTAGTGAGGAGGACTGCAAGCCAGGATGGAGAGGGCCTAAGAACACTCATAACTGTGGACTCTGGAAACACAAAATAGGGAGTAATAGCAAGAGATGGGGAGAAGAGTATTCACAATACAGCTTTAGGGAGAATAATGGGTTAATCTGCCAGAATTTTAATGCATGAAAGACGAGGTATATAGAAGAGGAGTTGGAAGCTCTAATACATGATCAAGATTGCACTTTAATAGGCATAACACAGACTAGAATATTAATATCAAAGGGTGAAGCAGGGCAGGAATATAAATGTAAGTGTGTAGTGCTTTTAGAAAAGAGGGAGGTGTCTTGAATACCAAGAATGCACACATTTGCCTTGAGATCCAGTTGTAAAGTCATCTAAATCCATTGAAATTCTCTGGACAATGATTATAGGGAGGGGATACAAACATTGTCACTTGGTTGGGAAGTCCTATAGACCATCAAATCAAAAAGGTAATTGGATGAGACTTATTACAAGCTGGTTTACAAGAGTGATTTTTGGTCGTGCTGGAACTTCTGTCTCCCCAGATATCAGGCAGGAGGGAATTCAGTAGGATGTAAAGCAACTGGTGAGTTTTTTCAGTAAATTGGTGGTGATTTGTAGATACGATGGATGGAATTAGAGGCAGCTGAAGGAAAATGAAGACAGCGAGATATTATCACTGGGGCTTTGCTTAAAAGAGATTGGGTACAGGCAGAGTGGAACAAGTCATATCTGCCTTGAAGAAAAGGGAAAAAGAAGACTAGAGCAATGATAGATGAAATAGCCTAAACCCCCCTCTCCCTTAACATGGGAGAAAACAATCAAAGCATCTGTGAACACTCTGAAGACAAAGTGAGACATTGTCAACCTGGTTTTGTGGAGAGCAAGTCACACCGGGATGTCATGTCCTACCACGGTGTCTGAAATAGATTATATGAGTCATGGTCTGAGAGTACCTAAAACTCTCTATTAAATAGTCTCAGTCCAGTGTGCTTGGATGCGGAAAGCGAACACGGCAGACATCTAACCTGAGGTCAGATGAATTTCATCCAAGCTGTCGTATATCATGGCTCCTCTGTCACGGCCCTGGCTTTGATGTGAGAGTTGCAATTTTAGAAATTTAATGAAAAAATAAAACCAAGCATAGTGTTCTTAGTCCAGCTCCAAGCACAGCAGGGATTGTGTTCCCCGCACCAGCAAAATCACCAAATATTTTCCAAAGAAGGATTACTTAGCTCTCCTTGGATAATGATCAACAAGATGCCAATTTCTGGTCATTAATTATGTCATGAATTGATCTTTATTGGTGCTGGTAGAAAACTGCACATCTCGCAACCACAAGTGGACTGCTGCTGATCAGGATGGTGGATTCCCACTGGAATTCAATTGAGCTTCCTTTGATGCTCTGCAAACATCTCTATTCACTCCCTGCGCTACCAAATTTTAATGCTAATATTTGTCACCTATGGATTCAGGTGCTCGTAATGAAGCAGTTTCCAAAATGTACTCTACATGTTGTGATCAGAGAATCATAGAGTGGTTTGGTTTGGAAGGGACCTCAAAGATCACCCATTTCCAACCCCCAGTAATGAGGTGTTCAGCATACTGATGTCTTATGTCATTCTCATTGCTCTGGTGAAGTGCTCATCAGCTGCTTGCAGTCAAGCAGAGGTTGAAATGCTTAATTGAATGAGGGCATTTTTCTCAGTAAGCAATTACCAGTTTGGATCACGAGCTCATAAATACTACACAACCATCACCAGTAATCAGCTGAGCAACGTCATCTGTTCATGTCTGGAAATGCCCCTGGAAATGCTAAAGGCATTAAAAATAATAAGTAGATGCATATTTCATGTGCATTCATATTGCATGTTTGTGATGCAAAACACAACGTCCTATTACAACTTACCTTTGGCTTTGGTCCCTCTTGCCCAAGGCTGATTTTCCAGCAAAACCTCTCTGAATGTGGGCTTTGTGGAAAAGCACAGAGCCAACATCACCTCACCTCCCCCGTGACCCATTCATGTTGCCATAGGTGGAAGTGCCAGCCCAGCTATGTGCCCAAAGACAGAGAAACATGCTCCAACTCACGGCAGAGCCCAGCAGGCCTGGTTCTCCTGGCTCCCCCTGGAAGGAAAGCAATGATGAGTAACAAGGGGAAAGTGCTGCTGTACTTCCTCTGGAATTGGGGATTGTCAGAGGACATAACTACAGCAGACGGAAGGGGCAGATAGGATCCCTTAAACATCTCAGATGGGCAACTGAAGGGAGCCCTACGTCTCCATTGAGTATAATTTAGACAGGAATTCATACCTTGCTTGTAAATGCTGACATTTCAGCAAATCATTACTATCATAGCACAGGGAAGATGTCAGAGCACTCTGCTGCTTTAGAAAAAGGGAAGAATCTCTTGGTCTTTCCTGGCTACTTCTGATTTTTGGTAACTCCACAACATTTAAATCAGCGATTTCAAAGAAGAAATAATACAATCAATCATAGAATCATAGAATGGTTTAGCTTGGAAGGGACCTTAGTGATCATGCAGCTCCAACCCCCCTGCTGTGGGCTGGCTGCCCCAAACCACATCAGGCAGCCCAGAGCTCCATCCAACCTGGCTTTGAATGCCTTCAAGGATGCAACATCTTCTTTGGGCAAAGAATCATATGGTGAAAAAAAAAAATCCTGTCAAAGGATTTTATATATCAATTCATGTATGATTTTACAGTTCAGTCCTTAAAGATGGTACCTTAGAATAGGTGTTGGGCATACTCACTTTCTGTCCCACTGGTCCTCTTGTTCCAAAAAGCCCCATGGCTCCCTTGGAGCCAGCTTCACCTCTGATTCCCTAAAATTATAGAATATCTGTCAAATACATTCTAAGGACAGTGTGCTCTTGAAGTGGCCCCTCCTGAGAGAGAACCCTATGAAGATGGAAGAGTGAAGGACAATAAGAATCATTTCTATAGCAGGCTTCACCTCCAAGGATCCCAAAGATCTTTATGGCAGCCAGAGCCAGGGAAGGAAGCCACCAGCTACAGAAACATGGCTCAGTTCTGAAAGGGAATTAGTGCCTGGTGATGGGGACCAAAGGAAAATAAGCAGGGAAGGGCCTCAGATATTTTAAAGAAGTTGCCTCTGTGCTAACGCTGAAGTACAAAACCCTGGTTGAATGTCTAGTGGTGGAGTAGTGGTGCTCCATCTAAATACACTCAGATATTCAGCCAAAAGGTGCTGTTGCTTTAGGAGACGCTTACATTTTATTATTATTATTATTATTATTTAATAAGAGAGCAGTCTGGCAGATAATGTGTGTGAGACTTCATCTGACAAAAACACAAGTATCACCCCTGGGACCTTCTGCACGTTGCTTTTACAGTCACTGGGGATCTAATCAGGGATGCTGCTGTTGTAGATACTTATATTTATTCTGCACCATGTCAGACTTTTAGAACAAAACCCATTAACATGATACAAAAATAGGGATGACTGGTGCATGGAGATTTAATTCATGACTCAGTCTGAGTGGGAGAGTTATATGATTCCTTCCAGTGGAGTGATGGGTTGAGACCTGACACCTCCATGGGTGCCAAGGCTCAAGTCCAATCCCAGCCCATCCCTATCGTATCCCTCAGTGCCACATCTCCACATTTCTTGAACATCTCCAGAGACAGTGATTCCACCACCTCCCTGGCAGCCTGTGCAAATGCATTACCACTTTTTCTGAGCTTCAGGGTTTCAGGCAGCATGTCCAGCTCTTGGAGAGAAACGGGACTCTTCCAATGTTATGTGTCTCTGTCCCATTGGGAGGTTCATACCTTTTCTCCTGCAGGCCCATCCTCTCCCTTCTCGCCTTTGTCTCCATCAAAACCTGGCAGGCCTTGTTCACCCTGAATGATAGGACAGGAATTGTGGGGTTGTGCCTCTCTCGAGAAAGGACCCATCTCTCAGTCAGTGGCTTTGGAACAAAGCACTGGTTTGCAATGGATACCCAAGCTGTGCTGAATCACAACAACAGTAGAACTTATAGAATAACCTGAATTGGAAAGGACTTATATAAGGGTCATCAACTTACAGGATCTCCTTTACTGCCTTTGTAGCCTTGGGGTCCAAAACCAGTCATGGTCTCACCCTAGAGAAAGGAGACACAGAAGAGATGTAGATAACAAGTGGTACCTGAACTCATGGCTCCCACTGGATAGGACCACACTTGCTGTGATGGGGAAAACAGCAAAAGGGTAACAAACATCTGCAATGAAGGTGAGCATTTTCTAAACTGTGGTCCATATGGAAGGTATGGGTGGACAGTAATAAGTAAGTTTAATTTTTTCTCAGCTAAAAGCTAGGTGATGAATATGCATAGAAGATGACAAGTTCTGAATTTTGACAGTGATCTCTTGCTCAAGAAAACGTTGGGGCCCAATGGCATAGCCAGTCTAGATGTCCCAACTAGAAGTGGAGCTGTGCATGGGAAAGTGGAAACCCGAGGTTCAATTCCCAGTCTGAAGTCATGAGTGATCAGATAGGTCCATATCTGACACAGTGGCTTGGCTCCTTCGTCACCATGTGTCACTTGGGATGTCAAGGTTTGCATCTCCTCCCACGTGCAGGACCTGGTTGTAGGCTCATGGTGCCCTGATTTATGGTCATGCAGCTGGAGCTGAGGTTGGTGAGTAGTACTTATGGCACCCATCAGAGCTAGCTTTTTTTACATCAGAAACATTGATTCTGCAAGCCAGGGCACTGTGACCAGCTGACAAGTACATGCTTCTAATATACTTCCCCAAAAGCATTCCAGAGAGTGCCATTAGCGTCTCTGGGACACCCTGAAACTCTACATGGCAATAAGAAGAACAGGTGCAGATGCAGCAAGGCATGGGTTTTGGAGGCAGGACAGTATGGAGGGTGATCTCCTATTACAGACACAGAAAGAAGCACCTTTCCCCTTCGGAAGATTTTAAAATTCGATTTGGATGCTGAGTGCAGCCTGCAGTTAATATTTCACTATTGTTATTAGCAGCGTACAGCACGGATTTATTCATTTTTTTCCCCTTGGAAGATAAATTAACCCCTTACAGGCCGGTGATTCTCCTTGCTAGCCCCCTTTGGCAACTGTAGCCTATCTGAAACAGTCTCCCTTTATACCAGCTCTCTTCAATGTTGCAAATGTCCATCCCTTTTCGGGAAGACTGTGCTTTGCTGCTAGACTCTTTAACAAACATCCATGAATCAACATTCCCCAGAATTTGACCATCTTTTGTAACTTATACAATGATCACTATCAGATCCTGCTCCAAGTCTATCTTCATATGCTTCCAGCTTTCCTGCTTTTCAGTGTCTGTAATGGAGATGGGATGGGGCTCGAGCAATTTTGCAGACAAAAGGGAGCATAAAGATTCTGTAGTTTAATCCAGTGCACAGCACAGGCCCTGAAAAGCACACAGTTCCACTTGTATTGATGGAGAGAGAGTTATAAAGTAAGTTAAACTGTAACCATGGGGAATGAATCCAAGCCAATCATCCCTCTCTCTCAGTTCTATCTCATACGCCTCTTTATATTTTATTAAGGTATTCTTTGGAAAATGCATTACACATTCCTTCAACTCGGGAAGTGTTTTGGGGCCTCCTCACGAAGCAGATTAGGAGTTGATTTGTCTCTGGAGCAAGTCCCTTTTGGAAGCAGCCTCCTCAGAGACAAATTGGTCCTGATCATTTAATGCCGCATGACTCAAAGGCGAAATCATCATGTAGGTTTTCAAAAACTCATTTTCTTACAAGCCACCTCAGTAAGGGAGGAAGTTAACAAAACACTGGACAGAAATTCAGCATTTTCTGTTCACTTTCTGCTCTCGGGGTTATTTTGCATTACCTGCCATGAGCCAGACTGGGGTGTGCTTTGGGGCGAGCTCATTAACAAAAGTCAGTGGAACTTTTTTTTCTTCCCTTACATCATAGAAAGCATTTTTGTGCCCAAGAAAACTGCTGCTGAAATGACTTCTTTTTTGCTCCTATTGACAATGGCTGTTGTCAATGGCTGTTTGTCAGCCCATTAAAACTATGGTGCCAGATCCACTCTGACCATTGCATAGAGTGCAAGCAAGAAGCCAGCGAAGTGGATTGAACCCACTGGAAAATCCCATGAAGGAAGGAAGCATCTAAAACTTGCATTCAACTGCATGGGTGTATAAATGTAGAGAGAATGGTCCCAAACTCTTGGGTGTACATAGTGAAGGGACCAGCTGTAAATAGGAAAACACCCATTGGACAGAAGGAAAACACATACCAGTATTTCTTATCATTTATGTCTCTACTTTGTCTGATCACTGAACTGTTCAAATAACTGTCCATCTGCTCACAGGTAACAATAAAGCCCTAACAGCCTTTTACCCCATCTGCCCCGAAAGGTCACAATCTGGAACGTTCTTACTCTTTCTCCCTTGGGTCCCAGAAGTCCCCGATCACCCTGAAACCAAGCAAGAAATAAAGGCAGTGAGTGATTCCCTTTTTATTCACGCTTTCTGTGCTACTCAGTCCACTGATTTGCACACCAAGCCCACCTATCATAGCTGGGAGTCAGCTCCCCTAGGCACTCCGCCAAAGCTTACCATGGGAAATTGTGCACAACTAAAATATATTGTGCTGACCAAAAATAAAGACCTGGGACTGACATGTTTTGGTTGACTTTATGCTCAGTATGTCCACACTGCAGAACTGTCATTGGATTTCCACCTTCCAATGGGGCATGGCAGCTCTGGTAACATGTCAGTACTACACCTAGGGTGGGAAGGCATCCTGTATTTTATAGGATTTCCCAAATTTCAATCTCAAATCTTGGATTTTGCAGTAAAAGTGTATGAAATACTAACTCTTCCACAAGGCTTTTTGTAGGAGGTGGGTTATGAAGCTAAAGGGCAGGATTTGGTACTGATGGCATCTCATACCCTTCTTCAGTGCTCATGACTGGCAAAGTGACAGACAGATGGAAGAGACTGGAAGGCCCGGGTGGGGATATGAGAGCAAAGAGAGACTGTAAAACTGCACTGAGTTGCTTTTGAGTAGCAGCATTATATGTGGTTGCCTTCATTCCAGTGTTAGATTGCACATCCCTACATTTGGACAAGATTTACTCTTCCCATTGCTGCATTTTTCAACTGCCCAAGGCTTGCAAGAGGGAAATGGCAGAAGGAGAGCAAAGGGATTCCTTTCTGTCCAAACTCCCAAATTTCCTCCCTTCCTACCATCCTAAAAAATATTTTAAAAAGAGGCTTGCAGAAAAATAACATGCACCCTGATCCCAGCCCAGACCTTACAGGGGACTGCTTGTCACTTCAGACTTCCACACATCGATTAAAGTCCCCTCCCAGTCTGTCCCAGAAAGATTCCCCACAATGGTGTGCCCTCCTCTTCAGGAACTGCATAGGAAAAGGTGACAGTGACTGTTGCTTACCCTTTCGCCTTTCACACCTGGGAGACCTTTTAGACCCTGCGAGGACACAAAACAAGATGTGAGGATAAATACAAGTGAGGGAAGATATTGAGAAAAAAAGAGCAGTCTACACTCTAAGACAGAGCTGCCTCCAAGAAGAGGTTTCAGCATAGAGAAGCTGCTGGTGGAAGGGGTGCAGAAGCTAGATTGGACAACTTGCCCTGTTTTGCAAGCCTCATGTGGAGTCTTTTGTATGCTTAACAGCAACTAGACACAGCCACAATCTCCCAGGTCTCCCATAGGCCCCTCTAGGTGGAGGTGACAGGATCTCCACTCATCCCTCATCACAGGAGTAGGCAGGGACAGGATAGACTGGGATGGCCCATGGCCAAGTGGCCGAGAGGATAAAGCAATTATGCTAGGCATGTCAGCTTATGTCTCACATGTGGCTAAAGGTTTTACAGTCAACCGTTCCAACACAACAGAAGAATTTGGGTTCCCCTAACTTTCCATTTCCCACTGGAAGCATCAAACTACTCAATTTTTTTTTAATTGCTCATAGGAATTTTTTTCCAGCTCTGAAGCTGTCCATACTATAAACATCAAGCAGCCCTGAAATTGTCTATACTGTGAAATCAGCACGTTAACACTCACCATCATACCAATGGGGCCCTGGACTCCCATGATGCCCTCGTCACCCTGTTAGGAAAGAGAGGTGTAGTGATGGCCATCAGCAGACACATGCAACACACACAGTTCCAGATCCACAATCCATCCCATGGGGGACAATAGGAGTTGAGAATGCAGAAGCCTAGATCTGTAAAGGGAGTTTTGCAACCCTGTTCACTTATATGTCTACATGCATTAAGTGTCCCATGGTTCTGGATTAAAGGACTTAAAGATCTCCATACCACACACATGCCACTGTAGTTGGACAATGTACTCTGTATTTAGAAAATACTCTGGTCAGCTTCAAGCTTCAGCTTCTCCTCAGCTTTCAAGAGAAACACATCTGTAGGATGATCTGAACCTGATTCAGCATGATATTAATCACTCTAAAAAGGTGCCTTCTCTCTGTTTCCATAGGGAGGCATTGGTTGGAATGGCTTAGAAGAAGCAAGGATCCTCTAGGATACCCTGAGGTTGGGTATCCTAGTGTGTCCTTTCTCAAGCTGTATTTACATGTGACAAAAGCATGGACAGCAAAGGGCAGAGGTCTGAGATGTTCCTGGTGTCCCAGGAGAATTCTCACCCTCAATCAGAGAGCTCAGTTGATTTTTATGTGCATTCATAACTTGATTTCAGTAGGACACACCACAGCAGAAAGGTAATCAGAAATTCATCTGAGAACCCACATCGCTGGCTTTCAGAAGGAAGATACCACCAGTCAACTGCTCAATTCATGCCTTTGGAGGCCAATGTGGGGCTTATCTTCATACCTAGCTCTTGCTCCCAGATGCCAGAGAACTTCTTAATGTTTCTTCAAGTGTGCTATTGACTCTTTTTAAACGTTACTACAAGGGATAGCTGGTGGATCTGTGAAGTGCTTCAATGATTTCACTGAGTAGAACCCACAAGACATACATGTCTTTGAGATGCCTGGACTTGGGCATCATCCCGCAAGGCGAAATCTCTCCTATCTGGTCAATATAGTCTGTGATTCTGTAATTCTCTCCAGATTTATGCTGGAGTCAGAAGAGCAGAAACATTATTTCATCATTCCATTCAGATAATAAAGCTTGAGTGAGGTTTACCCCAGACCTTTCACAGCTGTTGACATTCTCATTAACTGTTTTGTCTCAGGGGCCTCATTGAACCATTCTGCTGGCAGATGGGGAATTTGCCTAAATGGATTGCACCATAAAATCAGTTTATTCATGGAACAGCCACAGACGGAGCAAATTGAAACATGGCCCTTGATTATGACTCAAGAAGGTCTCCCTGGGGTCTTTGCCAGAAGGGGACCAAAACTTCTCAGCAGCCTGAGGAAAAGTGAGCATTGCTTCCCCAGGGATGACAGAGGGTCAGGGAAGGGGGGAACAAGAGTAAGAAAGTTGGAGGTGCATTTCTGAAGGAATGAATTTGCAGGTAGCATCCCTCAAGCATACAAAATGAGGTCCTTCCTCACAGAGATGTGCAGATGTATGAATGTAGATGTTACCACTGAAGCTTCCACAGCAAGGGCACAGACACGATGATCAATGCAACACACAGTGCTTGAGGGTGTTCTAGTTGCAGAGGGGATTCTAATTGCAATCTGTGGAGAGAATCTGGTCAGTGCCAATTCCAGCTGGGTGCAGCAGTGTCTGTCACCTCCAAATCTGGCCAATGAAAAATTAAAGCAGGCTCTATTATCAGCTCTTTTGGCATCTTCTGTGATGGGTGAGCAGACAGTGATGGTATAAAGTTGCCTCCAAAGGAGGTTAGCTTGCAACAAGCCAAGCAAAGAACATTTACAGAGAACCTACTTGAGAACCAGGCAATCCTCGGGGACCTCTTGGACCAACAGCTCCAATCCCAGTTTCTCCCTGCAGGTCAGAAAGACAGAAGTCTAATTTGAAGGAAGGACATCATATGCCATGACTACTGCTCAGACTGACCATAGAATCATAGAATCATTAAAGTTGGAAAAGATCTCTAAGTTCATCTAATGCAACTGTCTACCTACCACAATACTGCCCTCTAAACCAGGCTATCCCTAAGCACCACATCTCCATGTATCTTGAACACCTCCAGCAATAATGACTCCAACCACCTCCCTGGGCAGCCTGTTCCAGAGCTTGACCACTTTCTTAGAGAAGATTTTTCTAATGTCCAACACTGTGGTGGGACTCGATGATCTTTAAGGTCTTTTCCAACCTCAGTGATTCTATGATTTTATGATTCTATGAAATGATTTAAAAGTTACAGAAAGGGGACTCCTTTCCATTGACTTTGTGCAGCTCTCTCTGGAAAATGCTCCAAGAAACTGGGGGAAGAAGGGCATGAAGGTGAGAGGGGGTGAAGCATCTAGATGGGACCAAGGATAAGGAGCCAGGAGATAGCAGTGGGCTGTCATTTTACTGCCCAAGGATCTAAGCTATCTGTGCCCTTCCTGGAAAGCTGGCACTCACCTTGTTGCCTTTGGGCCCAGGTGTCCCAGGAATCCCCTGTAGGATGAAAAAAAAACCAAAACACAACAACTTTATTTTGCAAGTCCTTGATGCTCTCCCATCCCAATGAAAAGATAAAAGCACACTCAGCCCAGATACCAGGGCCTCAGCCTCTCTTCCCAGCCAAGTTTCTACAGTCTCGCAGAAGGCAAAGGGGGTGATGTATAAAAGTCACCTCTTTTCCTGGGGATCCTGATGGTCCTGCAGGCCCAGCAAGTCCATTCCGGCCTCTCTTCCCACTCTCACCCTTGAAAACAAAATCCTTTAAGGAGGAAAACATCAAAAGGCAAAAGTCCCACTTCTCCCAAGCCAGCCTGAAAGCAGGAGTGTGTTCCTAGGTGCTCCTAGGAGGAGTAGTCTTTGAAATGCTCCCAGTGTGGGGGCATCATTGAAGAGAGGTGGACTTCAATGGACTGGTGTAGGCAGTATCAGAAGGACCACCCTTGTTTTCTCCTTGGGTTGGACAACACAACATGCACAGTGCCCTCACACCACCTGCCTTCTGTCCTGGTGTCCCACGAAGACCTGGAGCCCCTCTGTCTCCCTGTGAGCCAGGAATGCCAGCATTGCCACGAATGCCTTGAATGCCCTGGGCTCCTGGAGGTCCTGGAGCCCCTGGCTCACCCTGTTGAATGAATAAGGAGGAATTTAGATTTGAGGTGAGATTAATAACCCTCCAGAAGTCCTTAAGAAAGCCCAGTGGTGTATCCTTGAATTCACATAAGTGGTACGTAGAAATGGGGGTTTTCCAGTAAGAGGTGTTCATAGGGATGGAGTAGAGGCTGTGCCATGGTTTAGTAAATGCAGAAGACCATGGACAGACATTTTTATCCTCTGGACCTGACTTGATCTAAAGTGGTCACTTGGAGAACACTCTCTCCATCCCAAACCCTCTTACTGTCTTTGCAAGATGGGTCTAACTTCAATGCTGTTACCATCTTCAGTGTCTTTCCCATCTCAGTCACCACTGTGCCCCACACCTAGCAGTGGGATGATCAGCAAAGACAATGGAATGTAACACCCACAGAAAAGCAAGTGAGATCCTATCCAGAGGAGAAGAAAGATGTACCTTAAATCCTGGGGGTCCAGCCTGACCAACAGGGCCTCTGAACCCAATTCCTGGTTCTCCCTGTGAAGAGAAGAAGGTCAGGAAAAAGCAAGACCATTCTTTGCACTATGGGACCATCAGAAAGCACAAACTGGAACACAAGAGATTCCATGTCAGGAAACACTCCTTTCCTGTGTGGATGGTGGAGCACTGGAACACGTTGCCCAGATAGTCCTGTATTTTCTGACATTACCCTTTTATGATGTGTGCCCTGTCTATATAAGCCATCAGGAGTCCCTACATAGGAGGGATAAATGCTGGGTCCCCTGTGAGTATCCCATTCCAGTTGTGACAAGCCCACATCTCAGGAGGTTATCTGGACTCCTCAGCTTGAGATGGGAGGTTAGATATTGGGAAGGTGGAAGAGTCATGGTGGGAGAAGAGATACCTATGGTAACAGTGCTGTTCTTTACCTTCTGACCACTTTCACCTCTGTCTCCTTTGGTGCCCTGTGAAATGAAGAGAGAGAGTTATCAAGCCTGCTGGAGCGGCTGTGTGAAGAACAACCCCACTGAAACACTAAGCAAGAGAGAAGGTTTCCAGTTGTGCTCATAGTCTGTGGCAGGATGGAGTAACTGGAAGTTCAGGGACACTCCTAATGTCCAGTTCTTTTCCCCCGAGAAGGTTGGAAATGGCTGTGTGCCAATGGAGGAGCCAAATGCTCTAACACAAGAGCTTGCTGCTCCTGGTGTGTTATTGGGCTCTGGATCTACTGGGCTGAGCTCAGCGGGTGATGGGTTCACATAGCGGCCAGGGATTTCACTTCTCTATGATAACCCTCAGTGCTGGATTTGGGCCACTTAGCTGGTGACACTGTCCTGTGCCAGTGGCTGAGCCTGACTCCACATCTCACCTTTTCTCCAGGCTCCCCCATCTCCCCAGGCTGCCCCTGCAAGACAAAAAGATCCGTCTTCCAGCCACCTCCCTTCTCATGCTCATGGTCCCTGCACAAAGGCATTGAAAAACCCATGCAAAATACCCTCTTTCCATTGGACTGTGAAACAACCCTCCCTTGTTTACTTTTCTTTTGAATATTTGGGTCCCAACACCTCGGATCTGTTTGTCCCTTATGAGAAGTATTCATGAAGAGGCACTTTGTATGGCTGAATGCCTGCTCTGATGGCAGAATATGCCATAAGAAACCTGGGGCTGGGTCTGACCCTTTCCTATATCCCTGTTTACATCAGCACAATCTCCCACAGACCCTGAATGTCCACTTCACCAGGATGTCCCAGCTTCTTATCTTCCTGACCCTATTAGAACAGGGAGCCTTCTCCAAGTCCCAGAAGCTCCCAAAAGCCTTATTGCTACCTTTTCTCCTTTGTTTCCACGGGCTCCTGGAGCTCCCATTTCTCCCTGGAAAACAAATAGCCCCTTTAGTTCAAGTATAAGGAGCATTTCCTTCCCTTTTTGGTCAAGGTAGGTGCTGCTTTCATTCCTGCATCATGTTTCAGGAAGCAGTAACGGAGGACCATCTCCTTTCCATTGCATTTCTGATGGATCATCTGGTTGGGCTATCCCAACCAGATCCAAACCATAGAATCATAGAATATCCTGAGTTGGAAGGGAGCCATAAAGATCATTGAGTCCAACTCCTAAGTCCAACCAGAGTCCAACCAGATTAGGACTGCCCCTGAACCCATCCCTCCTATCTTGCACAGTGGAAGTGCACAGAGTGAAAACAAACTTGAGTAATTGTAAGATATGAGCAGTACTGTGAATCTCCCAGGCCAAGAATAATGCAGATATTAATGTAATACTGCAGATACCATGAGTTTGAGGGAGAAGGGAGAAGTTCACCAAGGAGAGAATTACTAAGGAGCCAAAAACACACTACAAATATGTCTAAAGCAGATATGAAAAACTCAAAGTAGGGTCCTCTGCTCATTCTCAGTGGTCCAAACCATGGATTACTAACTCCTGAACCCACCAGTTCCAATGGCCAATTTTTACCTGTGACTTTTAGCCTCTAAATGAGACTGCCCTCAGGAGATAGACCTCCATCCTGTCCCACCCCAGCACTGTTGTGTATCTGCATTAAAGGTAGAACAAAAGCACTGACCTTTTGGCAATGGTAGAGTGGAACTGGACGGCCCATTTCCTCCTTCTGTAAGAAAACAAATGATGGTACAAAACAGAGTTTGGATTCTGCATGATGGGAGAAAAGACTATTCACATCCTCACCACGTGCAGTGGTGGTGAGAAGAGCCCTGGGCATGAATATTATAATATTATACCTTAATTCTCTTTGGGCGCTGAGGTCCTGGATATGTCTTGAAAAGAAAGGAAGAAAGCATGAGAGCAGATGGGGATATGTTTCCCCTCTTGAGCTGTGGAAAGGGTATCTTCAAGCAGTGAGATGTTACACAGCAAATCACTGCATTGTAGCAGGGGTAGAGGTGTCTTGCAGGGCCTCCATGTGTGGTCAAGAATTGTGAGATCCTCATTGAAACACTCCTGGTTGGATATGAGGTGGTCTCCAGGCTCACTCTGAGCCACTCCAGCTTGGATAGGATACCTGAGATCTGATTGTACCCATTGGAAATGGGCTGTAGGGTCCACAAAGCACGAAATGCCTTGGCACAGACATCCCACCATAACTCTGACTGTCCACAGACGTCTATAGAATCACAGAATCATTTGAGTTGGAAGGGACATTTAAAGCTCATCTAGTCCTCTGCAGTCAACAGGGACACCAACAGCTAGATCAAGTATGAGAAGCAACATGTCACCTCATGGCACAGATAAGCTGAGCTCAGTGCTACCATAGCCCACTGCAAGGACAGGACAATGGTCAATTACTGCTTTCAAGTAAGTTAAATTAATTCAAACTCAGAGATCTAGATCTATGTGTTTATAAACACACATTTACATGTTTATATACTACCACAAATATCTTCTATACTCTCAGGACGAAAAAAAACAAATCAGGTTATCATGTTCCATCATTGATTAAGTTTGATTTTCTCCACTTCTGCTTTGTGAGCATCACGTTTCCCTTGCCAAACACAGTGAGAACACTCTGCTCTGCCAAGAAATTCAGCTTCATCAGCAGATGTTCCTTGCTTTATTTATTAATATTTATCACTAACCTTTCACATACACCCTCTACATTCGCCACTGAGAAGAAGCAAATTGGGCTTCTTTTGCATCCATGTGTTTGAAGACAACCTTGTATCAGGTATTCACTCACCACGGATCCAGATGGGGATTTTGGAGCTCCTGGGGCACCGGGAGGGTGAACCTATGATAGAGCCAACAAGAAATGGTCCCCATTCCCTTGTGGCTCTGCTCTTAGACATTGTTAGCCCAAAGCCATTGGGGTGTAATGAGGCTTTACCATGTGTCTGTCATGCTGGGTTGATCTCCTGGCTCTAGGATGCCTTGGGAGTGCAGAGCCATCTTCTGAATTCATGTTTTCCTACAGGAAAGAAAGCAGCATCATAGAATCACAGAATCATTAAGGTTGGAAAAGACCTCTAGTCAACTCTCTGCCTACCACCAACTACGTCTTACAACCAATCATCCCACTGAGCATCTCTTGTGCAATTAACTTATGGCTATTTCAGAGGAATAATACCTAAAATCTTGCAACTTTGAACTCTACTTTCCTCTCTGTAGCATCCATGTCTGGGTAACACAGATATGCATTTACTGCACCCAATATATCTGACTGCAGTAATACAACTGTTGATGTTTGATCACTCTACTCAGTAATCTTGCTGACATTTGCAATGCTCATAGTTTTTGTTGATACATATTTAAGACACACATTGTAAAGCTTGTACAAATAGTTACTGGCTTGTATCATGAATTGGTCATAATACTAGCAACAGTAATTTATCTGCTTGCTGTTTTAAAACCAGTCATACTCCTAGCTCAGTGTACAGCAGTTATTCCCTGACCCACATGGTGGTGAACTGCAGAGCAGCTTTGGCAAATATTCTGATATGAAAGCAAAAAAGCAATAGAGTGATTCACAACAACAGAAGGCAGGAAACCTCCGTGCACTAAAACCTCAGCCCTGAGCCTTGCCAGGAGAATAGCTAAAAGAGGAACATATTGGGATGGGATGCAGTTATTTGGCACTATTTCCACATTCATATTATTATTATTTGCAGAATCAAAGACCTGGATTGACCTCAAAATTTAATCTAGAATCATGTGTTGAGTTCTGTTTTGATGGATTTAACTAACTGGATGATAGTTTCATTTACTGGCTAATAAACACAGGAAGTTTCTGACTCACTAAAATACATAATGAAAAAAGATATTTTTGCCCAAAGAAAACTGGAATACTTTACTGAATCATGGTGAGGAGCAAGAAAGAGGAAGAAAAGATTCACCAGTGATGTGCTGGCACACATTGCTCAGGAGTGCTCGTTTGGGATGGGTTTTGGCCATCCTGCACTGGGTTGCAGCTGATCTGCATGCAGAGCAGATACAAAATGCTGCTGCTGCTTTGCTGTGGGTCCGTATTCACTGTGAAGAGCATCGTAAGGAAAAGGCAAGGCAAGCCCATGGGTTGCCAGGACCTTGCAGAGATTTTATGGCAACCCATGTGCATGGGATCTGATAATGCTGCCATTTACAAGGATGGTGGGAAATTGCAGGGGGTAATAATTCTCCTTCATTCTGCAATTCCTCCGCAATTTTAGCAGTTTCCAGCTTTCCAGATCTGAGATGCCAGCAATAAGGTACCTCAAGGGAAAGGAGAGAAGCTGCTGCTTTCTGAAGCACTGATTTGCTGATAGTGAGTGGCACTGCCAGGAAAAAGGAAAAAGGAGAAAGGAAAAGGGAAAGGAAAAATAGGGAAAGGATGGAGAGGAGAGGAGAGGAGAGGAGAGGAGAGG